GCTTCTGACATGAGGGGACCATGTAGGAGTAGGAGTAGGTTCAGGGGCACAGTGACCAGTGGAGCTGGGAAGTGGCAAGTATCCGGAGGACAGGCATCTGGGAGGCCCTGAAGACATGGTCTGGAGTTCTGTTCTGAGATCTGGACGGTTGTCTCAATGAGGCAGGGGGGAGGGGGAGATGGAGCTCTCTGGAAACAGCCTGTCATGAGGAGGCCAGGAAGGACCTTAGGAGACACAGGGCAGTGGAAGGAACAAGGGTCTGTGAAGAGGCCCACAAGGGAGTGAGTGAGAGGAGGAGAAGGTGCTACCCATCTGGCCTGACTGACGGTGAGGGAGACCCCTCCCGCCCAGAAAGTGTCCCTCCACGTTCCATGTTGTCTTCAGACCAATTCCAGGCTAAGGTCAGAAGAACCCTGAGACAGGTGGGCAGCAGCTGGCCCGTGCATGGAGACTGGGAGGCTCCAGCCTGTCCTAGGCCTCTGTTCCTGAGCCTTCATCTGCTCCCCAGCCCCTTTGGGAGGACCCAGCAAAAGTGGATGGGTAGCCTCTCCTTGCTCTTGGCCCATGGTGGCCCTGGCAAGCTGGTTCACCAGGGAAGGTTCTGCCTGATAGGAAAGCCTCACACCTCATACCAGGAGTCAGGTGAGAGTAGCTCACGCTGTGTGTGTGGCCTGTGTTTATTTGTCTACACGCCACACAATCAGCTCTCCCTCAGTTTGGAGAGGAAGGAGGGAGGGACGAGCCGAGTAAGCTTTCGTCCTGTTTACTTACCAGGCTGGGTTTCAGCACAAGGCTCTAAATGCCAGCCAGCATATGGCAGCAGAGGTGCCAGGGGTGCCTGGTATGCATCCTAATGCTGCCTACTATTGGATACTGCTTCTAGCTGACACAAATCCGACATTGTGGCTAGGGAGCAGGTGGACTGTCAGGCAGAGGGTGACAGAGGGAGTTCAGACTCAACTTAGTTAGCAAGCTCATACCAAGAGTCACAGGCCCTGGCTCTGCTGGAGTCCTGGTCCTTCAAGATTCTCACTGTGTGGTGTTTGGTAAATTCTTGCCTTCTCTAGGATTAAGTTTGGGCATCTGTAAAGCACAAAAATTGATTGGCGTAGTGAACTGACATTACCTTGCAGTGCTTCTGGCCTCCTAGAAGGGGCCTTGGTCCAGCCACCAGCTAGATCCTCAAACACCTCCACTTACCTGTTGCATTTGAAGTCAGCTTCCTGGAGCCTTAAAAAGTTTGTCACACTGGGAGTAGGTAATTTCCAAGGATCTTTATAGCTTTGAATTTCTGTCTTGGCTAACTCTTTACAAATTGGGATATCCCATTTTAATGATATGAGCTTTATAAATAAACATTTTTAATAGACTTGAGATAGGAAATGTAGCCCGTGGCAATGAGCATGTGTGTATGGGAGTGACAGATGTGAGCGTGGAGGGTGTGGATGCATCTGAGGGTGGGTCTGTTTGGTAGCTCTATCCACTGCCTACACAAGGGTTTGTGTCATGGACTGGCAGATCATTCCTCCATATTCTCTTTCTCTCTCTCTTTTTCTCAAAACTGTCATCACAGCTACATGGGGAACACAAGTAGGAGTATCACAGTCCAGGCTGGTCCAGGTATAAATGTGAGACCCCTCTCTCAAAAATAACTGAAGCAAAAAGGGCTGGTGGAGTTGGCTCAAGTGGTAGAGCACCTGCCTAACAAGCATGAGGCCCAGTACTACCAAAAAAGCAAACAAACACACAGCTCATCCCATGTCACATTTTAGCAAGCTCTTTGCTAGATGTCAATGATTAGAACAACTCAAATAATGCTTGGTGTCATGATCGATAGTCAACCAAAGACTTTCTGGTTTTTTTGTTAGTCGAGGAGTGGCGTTAACCAATGGATTTGCTCCTTATCCATCGTTGTCCTGGTCTAGTTCCTGTGTCCTGGCTTTGCTTTATTCTTATTCCCTGTTTCCTCCAACACCCTCAAAAAAGCTTGTAGTGTAAAGCAAAGTTGAATGGCCTTTGCTGCAAGCCACTGTCCCATGCCTCCATCCTGGTGTGAATTTTTCCCCATATTTGCTGTCCCATGTCTGTCCCCCTTTCTACCTTCAATCCATCCACCTTTCCAGCCCTCAATCCATCCTGTTGTTAGAGCAGCACACCCTCTGAACAGTATGTGTTTTGTTAACCACAGTCATTGCTCCATTCCTTGTGAAAAACTTACATACAGTGAATGCACAGATCTCAAGTCTGCCTTGTCTAGGTCTGAAAAGCACGTAATACTTGTGTCTCGCAAACCCTATCAAGACACAGACCTCTACCATCACCTCCAGAATGCACCTCATACACGTCTGGTCACTTCCTGCCCCCCACTCCACCCTGCAACAGCAACAACCACTGTGCAGTTTTCTCTCTGTAGTTTACCTTGACCTCATGTAGCTCTTCATTTGAAGGGACTCAAGACTGCGTGTGCTCCTCAGTCTGCGTGATGCTTTGGAGATTGGTCCTTAGTCTGTCTTCTATCATGATTTATCCCTTTCTTATTCTTTTATTTTGTGGTACTGGGATTTGAACTCAGAGCCTTGTGATTGCTAGGCAGGAGCTCTGCCACTTGAGCTATGCCCCCCCAGCCCTTTTGTTTATCTTTCAGACACAGTCTCTTGCTAACTTTGCCCTACTGGACCTTTGACCATGGTTCTCCTACTGTCACCTCTCGCCAGTATGCATGAAATGGGGTCTTGCTAACTTTTGCCCATGATGGCTTTGAACTGTGACTCTCCAAATCTCTGCTCCTGAGTAGCTGGTATTATAGCTGTGAGCCACCATGCCCAGCTTGTTCATTCCCCTCTATTCCAAAGTGGAAATCCATTGTGTGGTTACGCTGAAATTACATTTTGTTGTTTTTTTTTAAAACTCATTATCGTATCAGTGGACAGCTAGTCTGTTTCCAGTTTGGGGCCATTACAAACAAAGTCACTGTGCACATTTATGTACAATTATTTTTGTGGACATTTATTTTGGTATTTGTCTTTAAAAATTAGTATTTATTACTGATTGTGATTATAAAGTAGTTTAGGTAAATTATAGAAGATATATCTAACTATAATGAAGAGAATAAAGATGCCATAATTTTATTGCCTGGAATTTGTTCTGTAACTGTGAACTCCTGGAAGGTGTGACCTCTTCATCCAAGGGAATATTTCCACGTGGTCATGAGGTACCTGGCCACTGGCCAGATGTCCACCTGCCTGGCATCCAGGAGGAAGAAACAGGTATAAAAATGGCATCAGCTCATTCTGTGTCTCAGGAACCTCAGATGGAGCCTGATGCAAATTCAGAGCTGGGGAAGGATGTGGTAAGGGTGGCTGTGCAGGTGTGTTGCTTTTGCTCCTAAGGGCACCACAACTCCCTGCTATGACAAGGGTCTACACTTCTAATGGTACCTTCAGAAAGTCCCTCTTTGGCTGTGAGGGACCGTGCCTAAGAACTGCTGTGATGAGGCCGGAAGATGCCCTTGAAGGATGGGAGGAGCAGGCCAGGCTGGGCGTTTATCCCAGCTCTGCCCAGGACCTGGGAAATGAGGGTTAGACAGTAGGTGGGCTGTTGGGACTCCCCCAGATCTGAGATCCTGGGCTACTGAGCCTTGAATTGGGAACTTTCTGAGGTCTGTGTCATGTCTCCATTCAAGGGCCTCTGGTTCTTGTTCCTGCCCAGCTGGCTATGTCCAGCACATTAAGGTCTCCTGTAGGGGTAGAAGCATATGACAGTGCTTTCTGGTGTCTCTTCTTATAAGGACACTAATCCTATCATCCTGTGGGGTCAGGGTTCCACCCTTATAACCTCATTTAACTTCAGCTACCTTCTAATGACCCAATCTCCAAACACAGTCACATTTGGGGGTGACACTTCAACATATGGATTCTGGAGGGACACAGTCAGTTTTACCTAAAGCATCAGAACTGAGCCCTGCCTGCCGGCTGCCTGTTAGAAAGTGAGCTGGGCAGGTACCTCAGGACTTCCACATTTTCCACGGTGGGAATCCTTGGCTGTGTAATAAGACAGTGAGAATACTGCTGCAGCAATCCTGTAGGGTTTTACAAAGTGCTTTCAAGTACATAGTCTTGAAAGCAAGCTTGTGCTTGCCTTCAGCAAGCCTGTGCTCATTGTATGGATGAAAAACAGGGCATAAGAAATTAAGTGTCTGGACTGGGGCCACATAGTCCACTAGTGGTGAGCCAGTTCCCACACCCATTCGAGCTCTTGTAGAAAGCATTCCCACCTGCCTCAGTTTCCTTCTCACCCCCATGCTCTCCATGTTCAAGACACATTTCAGAGGCTGTGAGGGTTCCATTGCCCATAAAATGAAGCTGAAGCCTGGTGCAGTATAGGTAACACTAAAAAATCTCCTTATCAGCAAAGTAGGTGGAAGTATTCCTAGTGCAGGAACTGACTTAGTTGACAGAAAAAACCTTCCCCAGGTGCCAGTGGCTCACACCTGAACTCTAACTACTTGGGAGGCTGAGATGGGGGAGGATTGCGGTTGCAGATCAGCCTGGGCAAAAAGTTTGCAAAACCCCATCTCAACTAAGAGTTGTGTGCAGTAGCGTGCACCTATCGTCACAAGCTACCTGGAAGACTGAGATTGGGAAGATTGAGGTTCCAGGCCAGCCAGGGCAAAAACTTTCTCAAGATCTGCATCCTAACAGAAAAACCTGGGCATAGTGGCCTGCGTCTGTCATCCCAGTGATGGTGGGAAGTGGGAAATAGGAGGATTGTAGTCCAGGTTGGCTTGGGCAAAAAGCAAAATAACCATCTCCAAAATAACCAGAGCACAAAAGCTGGAGGTGTGGCTCAAGTGGTAGAGTGGCTGCCTCAGAAGCATGAAGGCCTGTGTTCAAACCCCAGTACCACCAAAAACAGAAAAGGAACCTCCCTGTGTCAGTAATCTAATGAACTGTGTTTGGGTTTGAAGTGCTAACGTGAAACCTGTCTTCCTCCCTGGTCAGTACAACAGGGTTTGGATTCCTGATCCTGAAGAAGTTTGGAAGTCTGCTGAAATAGCAAAGGACTACAAAGGTGACAGAGTCCTGCAACTCCTGCTGGAGGATGGAACGGTGAGAGACCTGGCTGTGGAGCTATGGGGATGTCTACAGTGGTAACGAGTACACAGTGGTAATTAGGGTGGCATGAGATGCAGAGGGAGCATGGGGGCACCGGCACCAAGCTCAGGATGGCCAGCTGGTGCTGCAAACTGCCCCCCAAGCTGTGCTACCCCACATCGAGCAGTGTGGCTGTGTAGCAGGGACCCACATGAGTCCCCAGGTCTGTGTCCCCTGCTGCACTTCCAGGTGTTCAGCATTGCTTGCTGGGTGCTGAAAAGCCATTAGCATTTTGGTTTCTGGGTCTCAGCAGAGAGATGGGGCAAGGAAGAGAAGCTGGAGGAAAGGAGTTTGAGCCCAAGGAGTGATCTGATGGAGAAAGGTTGAAGGTGGGAGGGGAAGAGAGGAGCCAAGGTGAAAAGGACACAGGAGGGAAGGAGAGATGGTCAGCCTGGAAGGCATAGAAACAGGTGATGATTGGGCTGTCCAGGAAGGTGTGGGAGGGCCACTGTGAGTGCTAGGTGGCAAGGGATCAGCGGCAGTTGTGCAGAAAGGAGCTCCTTGCGGCTTATAAGCACCTCCTGAGCATAGCAGGTGTGAGTAGCTGAGAAGGATGGATGGAAAATCACAAGACAGGGCTGTGGTGGCAGTGCGCAGTTGGGGAGTACCTGCAGGGCTTCAGAGAGAGGCAGGGAGGGTGGTCAGCAGCCTGTCTCTTTACGTCACCCCTCCTGGCTCCCTGCAGGACAAAGCCTGCTTTGTGCAGAAAAATGTCACCTCTGCAGCCACCTCTCCTCTCCCTCACTGACTGATAGACTCTCTTTTAGACCCTCTTGTTTCTCTCGCACATCAAATGGTTGAACTAGAAATAGGGGTTGTTGATTTAGAACAGAAAATCTGAAACAGGGAATGTACAAATTTATTAATTATGAAAATAGGTTTTGTTCTATAAACACACTTGTGGAGGCTGGTGTTTTCTGTTGGGGACAGCTCACGTGTGGACTTGCACCAGTGACAGTGGAGAAGGAGCCCCTCTGGGAACTCTCTACTGGCTTCCCAGATTGCCCCAAACTGCCAGCCTGATGCAAAGAGCTGGCAATAAAGCCATGTGGGCACTGACAGGGGTATCAGAACAGTGAAAGCATGCAGGCTTCAGAGCCAGGCCCACATTGACTGTGTGACCCTGTCTCATTACCTGGTCGTGAGGTAGTCACACCCTCTTCTCACGGTGGTTGTGAGGGTAACAGTCAGGACTGGGTGCTTGGCATGGGAGTTATACATGGCTCCTGCCAAGGGGCAATTGGTCCAGGACCAGGGGGCAAAAGGAAGCCAGCCAGCCGTGCTGCCTAACAGGAGGAAGGCAGCCTGGAAAGGGGGAAGGTAAGCGAGTTGCTGGGAAGCCTTGCTCAAATCATTGTACTTCTCTGCACTGTCCTTCCCCCAGCCATGAAACAGGAATGGGAGTGGCGGAGTCAGAATGCTCGGGCATTTGGAGGGTCCAGTTGTCTGGGGCATGGGCTCCACCAGGGACGCTGACCTCATCCTCATTCCATGCAGCCTCTGCTCTGGGATTGCTTTAAATCTGGCAAAGAAGGGCCAATCTGGGGAAATTTCTCAGCACAGGGCTGAGGGTGACAGGGATGGGCAGCCCATGGAGGGCATGAGCCCTCGGCATGCAGGAGGCTACAGACAGGAATCACCACTTCAGGGGCTTGGCAGGGTGACCACCAGCCACTCAGCCTCCTTCAGACTCTTCTCACCACCTTGCGTGACAGCTGAGGAGCATGTAGGAGAACTCAAGGACCTATCCTTGTCACAGCATCACCTGTCTTCAAGTGAGAATCCTCAGGGCACCACCATTTAAACCCATGCAAGTGGAGCCCCCACTGGGAGTAGGCACTGGGATCCTTGCCCTTGTGGTCTCCCCCCACCACGCCCCCAGCAGTCTTCAGCTCTGAGGATCCCTGATCTGGTCCAGCTTCTGGTTACAGATGAGAGAATTAAGGCCCAAAGAGGGTGAGTGACTTGCCCCAGGGCACACAGCCAGTGCCCTGTCCCCTGGCTCCTACTTTTCATTACTCAAGAGTCTCTCATGGAGATATTTTCTTCTTGCTTTTCTTAGGTTTGTTCTTCAGTGTTAGTGATGACTCAGTAGGAGGTGGATAGGAGAGGCAGTGTATTCAGCAGAAACCTTATATTTCCAGAAGTTTAAGTTCATCTTTGTGCACAGGAGTTGGACTATCCTGTTGATCCAGGATCGCTGCCTCCACTGCGGAACCCTGACATCCTCGTGGGAGAGAATGACCTCACAGCCCTCAGCTATCTCCATGAGCCTGCGGTGCTGCACAACCTCCGAATCCGCTTTGCAGAGTCCAGACTCATCTACACGTACAGTGGTAAGGACCTCAATTGCAGGGGGAGAGAATTGCAGGGCAAGAGCGATTGTAGAGCAAGAGCGATTGCAGAGCAAGAGGAAGCACGGGAAAACTGACGCCTAGTGCGTCCTGGTAACTGGTGTTTGTGCTGAGCACAGGAACTAAGAACAGACCACGGAAGAAAGAGAAGAGATGTGCTTATCACTTACTGAGGCAGTGGTGTCTCCTTGCATTTACATGGGGAATTGCAAGAGCCTCTCAGTTTGGAGACACTCCCGCCCGTCATCTCATTCAGCCATCAGAGTAGCCCAGAGTCATAGCCAGGGAACCGAGATTCAGAGCATCAGTGACTTGACCAAGGTCAAGCAGAAGATTTTGTAAGTGGCAGAGCTGGGATTTCTCTAAAGAACCCGAGATATGTGTGTCTTAGTCTGTTTTTATTGCTATAACACACTATCTGACACCAGGTAATTGATACAGAAGCTAATTTGGCTCATTTTGTGGAGGCTGGGAAGTCCAAGAGCATAGTGCCAGCATCCAGTGAGGGCCTTCTCAGTGCTTCATCACACAGCAGGGGCATTGCGTGGTGAGACAGCACGCGTCTAGCTTGGCCTCTTCCTCTCCTTACAGACCACTGATCATTGTGGGCCCACTCTCATGAGGTCATGAGGTCATCTAACCATAACTCCTTCCCAAAGGCCCATCTCCAAGTGCTATAAACATAGGAATTTGGGTATTAAGTCTGTAATACACGAACTTTGGGGGGGCACATTCAAGCCATACAGTGGGTAACAGTGAGAATCTCACCTCTGTCCTCAGGAATCATTTTGGTGGCCATGAATCCTTACAAGCAGCTGCCAATATATGGAGATGCCATCATCCACGCCTACAGCGGGCAGAACATGGGTGATATGGACCCACACATATTCGCCGTGGCAGAAGAGGCATACAAGCAGATGGCCAGGTAGTGTCCTGCAGGCTGGCCTTCCCAATGCTCCCTGTAGGAAGGGACGAGAGGGCTCATTAGAAGCAATTGTGAAGCAAGGGGGGAGGTTTTTAAGTAGACTACCTGGAATGAATAGCAAATGACTGTTACAGTGTAACTGACCTATCTGCACAGAGCTCCCTCCTGGATTTTGGTCCTTCAAGGTAGTTCAAAAGTCAGTCCCTAGAGTCAGGGTGGCCAATGTTCCTCTTTTAAAAAAAAATGGTTTATTTTTCTTAGCTTATTATTATGCTATGACATTTACAAAAGTGCTTACAATGTATCTTAGACTCACCCCTCCATCATTCTCCTTTATCCTCCCACGCCCTTCTCAGAATAGTTTGAACAGGTGTCGTTGTTCCGTTTTCATCCATGAGTACATGGTATTTCCACCACATTCACCTCCTGCACCTTTCCTTATTTCCCCCCCACTGTGCCAACCCCCAGACAGGACCTGTTTTACCCTACTGTTCTCTATTTTTGAATAAAGATATTTTTGTATGTTTAAGATAGCTATAAGGGAGTTTCATTCCGACATTTCCATGTATATATGTATTATATCCCAAATGGGTTCATCCCCTCCAATTTTCTCCTTTCTACCTTAGTCCACTTCTTATGGTGATTTCAGCAGATTTAAATATTGCAGTGTGTTTGGTTGGAAGGGGGACTGTCTGATTCTACACCTTGAGAGGTTTGGTTTTTTTCACCCATCCAAAGGAATAAATATCCAAAGGAGGCTGAATCTATTAACAGACAAGCACAGGCTTTAGCTGCACGAGATTTGGAAATCTGGAGTCTTATCCCAATCTCACCACTTGAGTTTTGTATGGCCTTGCAGAGTTCTGGTTTTGCTATGGACCATTTATAAAAAGCTGCCAGTGAAGCAGGCACCAGGTGTCCATCCCCTGTGTCATCATGGGTGCCCTCAGAAGAGCCCATGGTATGAATGCCTGGCCAGTGATCTGGGCTTCAGGGAGTAAGCCACTCAGGGTCAGGCAGCAGTGGGGTTTGTGCTCAGGTTTTGACTCTTAAGGAAAATGTGTTTTTTCACATCTTCTTTCCCTATCTTCTTTTGGCTCCAATGCCCTGTCTGTAAAGTATGAGGAATAAACTATCTTAGCCAAATATTGTGGCAAATGCCTATGGTCTCAGCTACTCGGGAAGAGGAGGTAGGAGGATCGTGGTTCCAGGCCAACCCTGGTATAAGTCATGTGAGACCCTCTCTGAAAAAGAGACTAAAAAAGCAAAAGGACTCGGGGCATAGCTGAAGAGGTAGAGCACTTGCCCAGAAATTTCAATTGCCAGTACTACAAAACAAGCAAATAAATGAACACCATGTTAACTGTGTAGGTCCCTTAACAGTTTGCAAAAGAGCTTTCCAAGGCACTTGTCTCCTTTGGGTCTTGCTATATTCCTGTGAAGTGCTGCCATCATTGCCCTCACTTCACAGATGGGAAACTGAGGCAAGGACCTGTACCTGCTCTTACAGCCTAACCCTGGGCACAGTGCTGATTTGTCCTCATCTGTGAGCTAGATGCACAGAGCTCCCATATCTCATTCTGCTGCTATGGTTAGGGAAAAAATGGTGGCGTAATCAGGTGGGTCTTTCCTGATGAGCAGTCTGAGGTAGACAGGACCCCTTCCATCACACCAGAGACCCATGACATTTGGCTCCCATGTCCCTGTGGTAAGCCCCTCATCCTAGAGCCAGGCTAGTGCCCAATCATCTCCTCCACATCCTAGGTCACAGGAGCCACAGACTTTCCTCCAGGTCACAGAGCCTGCCCAGAGCCCCCAAAGAAGCTGCTCTCAGCTTACTGACTAGGGCATCCTCACATGAACAAGAGGGACCAGACGCTGTGCCATTCATGTGGCAGCAGTACCCCAGCTAACACTGGGGCATTGTCCTAGAAGGAAGGAAGGAGGAGAATGCTGGGTAGAAATGAGCAGCATTCCTTCAACCTGAGAACAGCCCAGATCAGGTCTCCCGGGAGTCTCAGTTGGTTACATGCTGGTCGTCTGCAGTGTGAGCTCACCAGAACCGAAAGGCTTTGCAAGATCAAACTCAAAGAGCGAGTTTTCTCCTTGGAGGTCTTTCTATGTGACACAAAACAGAACAGGTTCTTGGTGGACTGGCTTGATGCTAGTCTGGGACACCCTGGCTTTAATAGTCCCAGCCCCATTTGCCTACCCGGAGGACATTGGGCATGCCCTCCACCTTCTCAGAGTCTTCAGTTCTTCTTTGTGAAATGAAAGGATTGAACCAAGAGCTCTGTGTCTAAGGTCCCTCCAGCTGTGTGTTCTGTGCCCCAAGTCAAGTCACTGTACCTCTCTGAGTCACTCTTACCCATCTACAGAATAGATGTGTGTGTGATAGGATTTCTGTGAAGCTTAATTGAGGACATGTGTGGTGTTCACCTAGCTCCTGGTATGTACAGTAAGCAGTGCTGGCTACACAGCACTGGGTTTCCCCTCTTTTCTCTCTTTGAACCCCCAGAATAGCATTTTATTTGTTTTTATTTTTTGTTTTTGTTTTTGTCACAGTACTGGAGTTTGAACCAGGGCCTTGTGAGTGCTAGGCAGACAGTCTAGCACTTGAGCCACACCTCCAGCCCTTTTTACTCTGGTTATTTTTGGGACAGGGTATTGCCTTATGTCTGGGCTGGCCTAGACTGTAAACCTCCTATTTAGGTTTCCTGAATAGATGGGATGACAGGTGTGCACCACCATGCCCAGGTTTTTATTGGTTGAGGTAGGGTCTTGTTAACTTTAATCCCCCTGCCACACACACAGCCATCTTAATCTTATGACATGGAAGTGTTGTGTCTTTTTCAAAAATCTCTAAATTATATAACAGAACATGTGCACTTACAGAGTGCACATGTTCCCAGGCGTATTTTGCATAATTGCTCTTGATGGCTTTCTGTTCAACTGGAATGTACAGAAAAGAGCTGACAAGGCCTCAGACCACCATCTCTAGAGGCCTGCTTTCAAGTCTGGCCTGTGGCTACCCTCTGATTTCAGGTTGAGCCCCACCATCTCCTAACTGATAAAGTGACTCCCTGTACCTAAATTTAAACTGTGTCCGTGTCATCAATGTGGTTGCGGCTGAACATCTGCTTTCTTTCTGGGAGATGGAATTTGGGTTTGTGCCTGGAAGAGGACAGGCACTTAATCCTTAAGGCCTCCCCTGAACACACATGCCATCAAATCCCCTGATGGAGGCAGTAAGTGCATCAAGTGTGACCCCTGGAAAAGAACTCTCACAGTCTACACCTGGTCTCCTCTGGGCTTTGCTCTGTGTGCCTTTTCCCTTTGCTGATTTTGCTCTAAATCCTTTGATTTGATAAGGCTCACATCCCAGCAGAGGATGACTGTAATGCTGAGTCAGTCCTTTAGCGGGTCATTGAACCTGGGGTTGGTCTTGGGGACCCTTAACAAGGGAATGAGGCAGGAACCAAAAGTGTGTGTTCTGTGTGATCACACAGAACAAACAAGGCTGGGGCTGGATGGAGTCACTGAACTGTGTGGGCTGATAAGACAAAGTTTCCCCTGCTTTTTTTCCTTTCCTTTTTTCCTTTTTTGACAGTGCTCATGCTTACTAGGCAGATGTTCTACCAGGTTCCCAACCCTTTTTTGTTTTAGTTTTTCTCCATTGGCTCTCATACCTATTGTGTAGGGCCGTCTTTAGACTTCGGTCCTCCTACCTTTGCCACCTGCTGAGTAGCTGGGATCACAGACCTGAAGCGCCACCCCTGGCTTGTTTTCAAAATAGAATCTTGCTAACCTTTTTTGCCCAGGTTGGTCTGGAACCGCAGTCCTCCTAAAATCTGCTCTGAGCAACTGGGATTATAGGTGTGAGCCACTGTACCTTTTTCATGGGAAGATATTAGTATTTTAAAGTCTCATTTATTTGCTTTAGAAACAACAGAAACCAGTCAATTATTGTGAGTGGGGAGTCTGGAGCTGGAAAGACAGTGTCCGCCCGCTATGCCATGAGGTACTTCGCCACCGTCAGCAAGTCCAGCAGCAACGCTCACGTGGAGGACAAGGTCCTGGCGTCCAATCCCATAACTGAGGTGGGCACTGCTGTGGAAGGAGACGGGCAGAGGGCCAGAGGCAGCCAGGCACTGGTGATGGGGATGCAGGTCGCGGTATGCCTGTGCCATCCTTGCTAACACCAGTTCTCACACTGTGAAGAGCAAAGCAGTGAGGGTAGGAACGAGCTGGGATGCATGTGGAGAAAGCAGGGACAGAGATTGCTCCTGCCAGGGTTCTCCTCCATCTGCTGGGCTAGAAATCCTGTGATGGGATTTCAAGAATCCTCTGTACTGACTAATCTCCAGAGGAAACCCCCAACCTCAGCATTGCTGGCCCGTGGAAATGGAGGGTGCCCTGTGGCCAGCTGGCTCCAGCCTCATGGTCAGGGTAGTCTGAAGTCAGTCATGGAGAAGCAGTAACACCTTACAAATGAGCAATGATGCGTCCCAGGCTCTGCCTCCTCCCATCACCTGGGGCACAGGGTGGCAGGACCACCACACAGCCACCCTCTAGGAAGAAGGGGACCCAATGACCAGCCCTGGCTGCCTGGCCAAATGAGAAGAGGATTAGTTAGAACTTTTGGAAGTGTGGCCAATAGGAATGAACCTTAGACTCCAGGACCCGCCTCCAAAAGTGTGCTAATGAATATTTGTGAGACTGCCTACTTTGTTTAAGCCACTGTCCAGGTACTGTGGGAAGTAATGGGAAACAACAAGACCCCTCCCCAAGCTTAAGGTCCTCAAACCTACAATAAGTACCTTCTAAAATCAAAAGAAATGTGAGGGAGAGGGAAAACTGAGCCACAGTGTCGTTCACAGTCCAGAGGTACAGGCTGGCTGGACAGAACCATAAGCTACCATCCTACAGGGCAAGATCAAAGTTGCCAAGAGGCACCGCCACATGCATGCCCAGCGTGATCGTGAGAGGGTGATTACTTAAGGTTTGTCCCCCCGCTGGACTGTAAGCCTCATGAAGGCAGTTGCACGCCCAGTTGATTTGCTTTAACAAGCAAGCGTGTGGCATATGATAGGTGCGCAGCAAATACATGGTGACAGAAACCAAGATGACCTGGGCAAGTGGTGTCCTGTGTACACAGGAAGGGTCCCTCCTGATAGATGATGCCCAGGCAGGGGAGGAGTGGAAGTAAAGAACAAAATTCTAGACCATAGAGTGGGAGTAGGAGAGAGAGTGAGCTTTGGTGATGTAGACGGTTTGAGTGGGGAGATTGCAGGGAAGGTGAGAAGTACGTACCGGATGAAGGAGGTACACTTGCAGCTGAGCATCGTAACTCTGGCTCCCAGATGAGCTGGGCACTCTACATTATTTACATTCTTCCACACCATCCTCCCTACCCCAGGCTTTAGTCACAGGGTACTGCAGACTGGGTGGCTTAAACAGCAGCTTATTCTTTTTCTTTTCTTTCTCTCTTTCTTTTTTTTTTTTTTTTGGCAGTTCTGGAGTTTGAACTCAGGGCCTTATACTTGCTTGCTAAGCAGGCGCTCTACCACTTGAGTTATGCCCCAGCCCTTTTTGGTGCAGTTATTTTTCAGGTAGGATCTTGGGTTTTCTGCCTAAGGCTGACCTGAACCACAGTCCTCCTACTTACATCTCCTGAGTAGCTGGAGTGACAGGTACCCGCCACTGTGCCCAGCTCATTTGTTGAAATGGGGTCTTGCTAACCTTTTGCCTGTGTTGGCTTCAAACCTGACCTTTCTAATCTCCAACTCCAGAGTGGCTGGGATGACAGGCGTGAGCCACCATGTCTAGCAACAGTTTATTTCTCATGATTCTGGGGGCTGTAAGTTTGAGGCCAGCATGGCCGGGTTAGGTGACGGCCCTGTTCTAGGTGCAGACAACCATCTTCTCTTTGTATCCTCACATGGCTGCAAAAGAAAGCAAGAGGTCTGGGGTTTTTCACATGGGTGTGAAATCCCATTTATGACAGCCTCACTCCATGTCCTAATTACCTCCCAAAGGTCTTACTTCCTAAAACAACAACAGTGCTAGGATTTCAACCCATGGATCTGGGGAGGAGACGTGTTCTTTCATCTTACACATGGAGCATTGGATAGTGAAAAGATGAATTCACTGGGTGACATTATACCACAGACAGCAGAAATGGGTCCCCGGGCATGAGAGGCCAGACCCACGGGCTCTCTGATGCTACCCAGCCCTGAGCACAGCTCTACACCCCCCCACCCTTGCCCCCACGCCAGGTCCCCTCTGCTTGCCAGACTTACCTCAGTTCACAGGAGTGAGTAAAAACTGCTGCCGTAATTTTAACACCAAGGTCTGTTAGGGTGTGATTTTGGGAAAGCCCTCTGTTTTCCAGGCTGTGGGGAATGCCAAGACCACCCGAAATGACAATAGCAGCCGCTTTGGGAAGTACACAGAGATCAGCTTTGATGAGAGGAACCAGATCATAGGCGCCAACATGAGGACATACCTCCTGGAGAAGTCCCGGGTTGTCTTTCAGGTAAGGGTCACAGCATTAGCACCATCTCTTGGCTCCAGTGTCTTAGCTGTCACTTACGCTTATGTACTCATTACACAGCCCTCATGGTTCAGTGGTGCAAACAGTGGAGTTTTCCTGTCTTTTGTTTGCAGTTTGGGATTTATTTTACGTGTCCTTCATTTTTTTTTCCTGTTTATTACAAAGCAATTCCTGGGGTATGGCTCAAGTGGCCTGCCTAGCAAGCACAAGGCAGAATTCAGTCCCCATTATCACCAAGAAAAAAATAAACAAAAACTGTGGACTTTGGGTGTGGCTCAGTGGCAGAATACTTGGCTAGCAAGTGCAGGATCCTGGGTTTGATCCCAGCATGAAAAAAAATTAATGGTGCATAAGTGTAATATCCATGGAATTGTGTGATCAAGGGAGGATCGAGGAAGAAGGTTGCACTTTTTATTTATTTATTTTGGCATATTAAACTCAGGGTCTTGTGCTTAGTAGGCAGCACATGAACAATACTCCCAGTCCTCGACTTTTCAATTTGAAGAAAAAATCAAGTTCATACTAGTATAACACAAACAAAAAAAAAACCTGAAAAAAGAAAGCTGTTGGCCTAGCTTTCCTGTCAGGGAGGGATGGATTAGAGCTGGAGGGGATGGGGTTAGGAGACCAGCTCTCTGTCTGGAGAATGGACACCCTTCCCACAGACTGGCCCAGGGGGAGGGCGCCTGGGAGCCTTGCGCTGTTGCAGGGTGTGTCTCAGAGTTCCAGCCGGGGTGAATCATGCCATTCCCACCTCATGAAGCGTTCTCATTCAGTGCCGCTTTCTCTGGGGTCACTGGCAAGTAGATGATCTCTGGCCACCCATTTTTCACTCAGTTGGCTGCTCAGAAGCTGGCCCTAAATGCTAGTGTCCAGGAGAGCAAAGTCGTCCCTCTGATCAACCACTGGGACCCTGTAGGTAGAAGTGGGGCATTTCCATTTGCTAAGGTGACACCAATAACTTGGGGGCCCTTTCTTCTACAGTCAGAAAATGAGCGGAATTACCACATCTTCTATCAGCTCTGTGCGTCTGCACGGCAGTCGGAGTTCAGACATCTCAAACTGGGTAGGTGATGAGTGGTGTGGGATGAGTCGCTCCTCTGGAGGGCTTTAAACTCTTGGCTAATTTCTTCTTATGATAGCACAACATTTTTTTAAGGTTATGTCTTCATCCAAAGGCAGAAAATCTTTCAGTTTCTGGGGTGGGATTGATGCGTCTGCCTAAGAAAATGGTGGGGCTAGGTTGGGGCAATGAGCCTAGGACAGGAGACTCCGCAGCCCCAGGGATCTTTTCTACCACACTGCCTACCCCTGGTGGCACTGGGGTTTGAACAGGGCCTTGAGCTTGCTAGGCAAGTGCTCCCACTTGAGCCACACCCCCAGCTCTTTGCTTTATTTTATTTTTCAGGTAGGGTCTCCCACTTTTGCTCTGGCCAGCCTCAAACTGAGATCCTCTTACCTCCACCTTCTGAATAGCTGAGGTTATAGGTGTGAACCACCACACCAGTCCCCCCGCAGGGGTCTTACCAAAGCTTATTAGGTGACTGTGATCATTAAGCACGAACCCCTGACAAAGGGAACGTACCACGAAGTCCCTAAACTTTCTTTTTTTTTTTTTTCATTTTTCTTTTATTATTCATATATGCATACAAGGATTGGTTCATTTCTCCCCACTGCCCCCACCCACTCCCTTACCACCCACTCCGCCCCCTCCCTCTCCCCCCCCCCAATACCCAGCAGAAACTATTTTGCCCTTATTTCTAATTTTGTTGTAGAGAGAGTATAAGCAATAATAGGAAGGAACAAGAGTTTTTGCTGGTTGAGATAAGGATAGCTATACAGGGCATTGACTCACATTGATTTCCTGTGCGTGGGTGTTACCTTCTAGGTTAATTCTTTTTGATCTAATCTTTTCTCTAGTTCCTGGTCCCCTTTTCCTATTGGCCTCAGTTACTTTTAAGGTATCTGCTTTAGTTTCTCTGCGTTAAGGGCAACAAATGCTAGCTAGTTTTTTAGGTGTCTTACCTATCCTCACCCCTCCCTTGTGTGCTCTCGCTTTTATCATGTGCTCATAGTCCAATCCCCTTGTTGTTAAACTTTCATTTTTGTTTAAGCATCCTTTGAGAGTTGCTTTTTTAACATGTCTGACCATCCCTCCTCCTTAAACAAAGCACCTCTGACATAATTTGAACTTCCTTGATGACTCAGAATTCATTGTTGCAGTTGTGGTTAGTTACGCTTCAGGGATGGCTCGGATGTAACGCTGTTTGTCCCTAAGCATAAACGGCCTGGAACCCGTGCTGAACCAGCCCCCACCTCAGTCCTTCACTGTGTTGATCCATGAGGGCTGCCAGGCGGCTGTCTGGTGTGCTGGAGTTGAACGCACACCCTCCAGTTCTAGGACCCCTCGCACTGTGGGATCCCAACATCTGTACATTCACAGGAACATGGCTCCGTGCTTTGACTGCCACAGCAAACGCAGAAAGTGGTTGTAGGCGGACTTCCTCGTGGTCTTGTTGTGGTGATAGTTTTATAAAGGTGTACGTACGTGACACTCATTGAATCATACATATTCAGTGTACACAATTTGTTGCTTGTTCAGTGAACCTCAGCAAAGTCACATAAAAGTGTAGCATGCACGAACAGAAATCACAGCATCAGAGTAAGGCCCAGGCTTAAACTCTTGCCCTCTTGTCACCTGTGGAACACTGAGTGAGCCTCAGCTTCTACTTCCACATGTAGAAGTCTAAAGAGTAAATGAACGTTGTAGAGTGCTTGAGGTGCACTAAGTGTGAACGTCCCTTCTTGTTTCCTTTTCTATTTGTTTTCTTTTGTCTGAGACAGGATCTAACTATGTAGTCCAGGATCTAACTATGTAGTCCTGCCTAAGCTTGGGATTAAAGGCATGCACCACCACAGTCAGCCTTCCCTTTTTATTTCTGATAGTCATGTATGTCCAGATTTCTGAGTTATAGGCAGACCTAATTGTCTTTTTTGTTTCAGGGAGTGCAGAAGAGTTTAACTACACAAGAATGGGAGGAAATACTGTCATTGAGGGTGTGAATGACAGAGCTGACATGGTAGAGACTCGGAAGACATTCACACTACTGGGTAAGTGAAAATGTCTTACCCAAGAGTGTGACTGTTTTCTCAAAAAAGAAAAAGTTGGGATCGGGAGGGGAGGGAGAGGAAGAGGAGTCCTGAGGACACAGCCTTGCAATCTCTGTTCTCTCGTTGCCTGGCCACTGGTAATTTGCTATTCACTTTTTTTGTTGTTGTTGTGTATTCACTGCAGTTTCTTCACATATTGTAAGATGGTGGGTGGCCTTCTGCATGTCAGCTGTCACCTCTTGGCCTTGGTTTCTCTTGGTACAGTGGAGCACTGACATGTTTAGTTACTCCGATGACCCATTTCTACTCCCTCATTTTAGTGGCTTAAAATGATAACTGGTTATATCTCGTGATTCAGGGTTGACTGGGCTCAGCTGGGCATGTCTTTCTCAGGGACTCTCATAATGGTGATCAGGCTGGATCCTCTGACGTCTTCTCTCGCGTGGGCTGGGGCCTGGGTGGGTATCTCCCTGTCCAGTGACCTCAACCCTGGGACTCCTCAAGCCTGCTATCTCAGGGCAGATGCATTTCTTCCATCGTGGTCACTTCCAAACCCTGCCAGGCCTTTATGAACAAGCCTCAGAAGTCACCCAGCTCCGCTCCTGCTGTGTTCTATTAAGAAGGTCAAGAGCAAGTCTGAGGGGCCAGCTGAGACTTGTGACTCACGGGGAAGAAGCACACAGTGCTCCAACACTGGTGGGTGGTGTGTTGGGCACCATGCTTACATAGTGGCCACTGTGGCAGCTGCTAGGATGCTGTGAGGAGAGAGAACCAAGGTCTGAAGTGGCTTCTGAGCCAGGATGTGTATCTGTGTGGGAGATCAGGACCCACTGAATGAAAGTAGTCCCTAAACTGTGTCCCTGACCCAGGACCAGCAGACTGCTCTGTTTTATACTTGAAGTCCTCCTTTGTTTATGTTTTATCTGTGACTGTTTCCATGCTACATGGCAGGGTTGAGGAATGGTGACATAGACCATGTGGCCTACTAAACCCCCTAAGAAAACATTGCTGTCCCCTGTCCTAGATGGTAGTGTGGGCATGGCTGCTGAGTGCTTTAGTAGTTTCTCAAAATGTCTAGAAAGATCTGTGGAGCTCACGAAGCCATCTCAGCTTTGCCCATGTGTCCAAACTTGGAAGTTCCCTGAGGGCCCCATCCAGACAAAGGGGCAGCTGGGCAGGGTCCCAAGATCCCCTATCTGTTGTCGAACAGATTTGTGCTTGGAACCAAATGACCTCACTCACCTTGAAGTTGCTGTCATCTCACAACCAGTGGTCTCAGACTACATGTTCATTTCCTGGTGTCTAACTCCCACTATCCTACACAACAGCCACCAGTCACAAGGGACTGTCTGCATTTAACTTCATTTATCCTTTGGAGGTACTGGGGTTTGAACTCAGGGCCTTGCACTTGCCAGGCAGGTGCTCATCCACTTGAGCCACACCCCCAGCCCTTTTGGCTTTAGGTGTTTTGCAGACAGGATCTTGCTCTTTGCCTTCTATGTTATGCTTTCCAACATCACTGGGATGACAGGCATGCACCACCACTCCTGTCCTTTGTCACACTGACAATGGAGTGGATTGTCAAAGACACCTGTCCTCCCTCTGGGCTTCAATTGGGAGGCCACCAGTGCCTGGACTCATTTGGGGCTGAAGGCTTTGTGAGTTTTAGGTTTGGCATCTCTTGATGTCTTTGAAGTGATTCTGTGATTACGTAAGCACATGACTGGTGAATGAGGCATTCCAGGTTTCCTCCCTCAGGAAGCGCAGCTCTGGCTCCTCTCTGTGCTCAGGGCCTGCCATGTTTGGCTGAGGGCACTGGGGAGGCATTGGCCACCTTTCCAGTTTCCACTCTGGTGTGGATGTGGAGTGGACGAGCCCCAGTATCTCTCAGGACTCCTGACCCTCCCCACTGTCACGCATATACTGTGGGACCCTGACCCAGCACAGCCCAGCTCACAGCTGCCCGCTCTCTGTTGGGATCTACAGAGCAAGACATAGATCACAGGTGGTTCCATTTATTCTCAGCTCCGGGAAATGGGCTGATTTCCTCACAATGACTGAGTGCATTATATGTCCGTAACTTGCATTCCACCCTCACCAGGCCCCATCCCAGAAGCACATGGTAAACGCAAAGGAGGATCAAGGAGGGAGGGTTTATTTACCAAGGGACCATGACAAAGTTGTAGGTGTGGTGTAGGTAAGTCAGCAAGGGCAGCGGGGACCAGGGGATGGCAGCAGAGCTGTCCTCTGCCCTCTTCTGTTCAGGTACAGGGCCATTCCAGAAGACCGAAAAACCTAGGTAAAGTAACACCAGGTTGTGAGTGAGTGGGGACCTCACCCAGTGGGGCTACACAGCTAGGGAAGTAGCTGTGCAGAGGAGGGTCGGGGCAGACAAGCTCAGGGCCCCTCCTGCTCTTCCTCTTTGAGCTCCTGCAAAGGTGAATGAATGTATGAGCAAGTGACAAACGAATGAATGCATGCATGCTCCAGCAAGGGGCCAGGAGCACGAGCACCGTTACCATGGTCCTTACAGATCTTTCTCCCCTGGGGTGGAGAGTAGAGGGCCAGAGGGGTAAACGGGGTCCCTCCAATACCCTACCTTAAAAAGAAACCAGGCCAGGTATGGTGCTGCATGCCTATATTCTCAGCACTCAGGAGGCTACTGCAGGAGGACTGTGAGTTTGTGGCCAGCCTGGACTACAGAGCAAGACCTTATCTCAAAAAACAAACAAAAGGATTCAGGGAGCTTGTGAGCAAAAACCAGAAAACAAGCTTAAAAGTAAAGACAGTAACCAAATGTGACTCACACCTGTAAACCTGGCCACTCAGGAAAAGAGATAGGTGGACTGCAATTCAAGTTCAGCCTATGCAAAGATACCAAGAGACTGTATCTTAAAAACAAGACAAGGGCCAGGCATGGTGGTTCATGCCTGTAATCCCAGCTACTGGGGAGGTGGAGGTAGGAAGATCATGGTCCAAGGCTGGCCTAGGCAAAAGCATGAAAGCGTACCTGAAAAATAACTAAAGCAAAAAGGGCTGAGGGTATGGCTCAAGTAGTAGAGTGCCTGCAAGCAGCAGGCCCTGAGTTCCTTCTCTAGTACCAATGAGGGGGATGGCTGGGAAGGGGGGAAGCCTTGGGGGGGGGGCGGGCAGACAAAGCAATCAGGTGTGGTGGTGCATGCCTGTGACCCCAGTACTTTGGAGGCAGAGATAGGAAGATCTCATGTTCAAGGCCAGTCCATGGTAGAGCACTTGCCTAGCAAGTACGAGACCCTGAGTTCAAACTCCAGTGCTGCAGAAGTGAATGAATGAGTGAACGACATAAAATACACAGAAAAAACAGGGCTGCCTCTCCAGGACTGACTCTAAGCAGCTCCTGGAACTAGCTTCATGTTGAGCTCTCCTGCTGTTGCCGCTCCCAGAGGGAAGCGCTGGCTGCCACGCCCGCGCCATTTATCCCTGGAAGTCATATTGGAGAGAGCAGTGAGCCAGGCTCTCTCTGGGTGCAGTTGGTGTCCTCGTACCAACATTTGGCCCTGGAGGTACCAGAGCATCTTGAGAGTGTCCTGGTGCCCATCTCACAGGGAGAAGGCTTGGGGCCTCCTGAGTTGGGGCAATGCTTCTTTTCAGGTCTCAGGGAGGACTTTCAGATGGACATCTTCAAGATCCTGGCTGCCATCCTCCATCTGGGCAACGTGCAGATTGCCGCGGTGGGCAACGAGAGATCGTCAGTGGGCGTAAGAGCCGGCTCGCTTAGCCTTCCTGGGCGTGAGGGCCAGTGCCTGCTTGGGTTGCACTGGGCAGGCACAGTTGGGCCTGCTGGGCAGACTGGTTTAGCAGGAAGGATTTCCAGGGACTGTCTTCAAAGAGTAGCAGTGTGGGAGAGGGCATTCTCTATGCAATTTCCTGTCAGTAAATATTTAGGGAGTCCCTACTACAGGCCAGGGGCTGGTGTGGGCCCTGGGGAAACAGTATTGAACCTCATAAGAAGGCTTTCTTAGAGCGCGTAGTGCAGGACGGGCAAGGGGAGACACAAGAAATGCAGACAATGGAGCGGAGTCGGGGTGCGGAGGGGCTGTGCCTTTTGTGTAGGGCGGTCTGGGAAAGCCTGTTGGATGAGGCGGGGTGGGCAGAGGCCTGAAGGAGATGAAGGAGCAGACCGTGCCTGTGTCTGGGGGAGAAGGTCCACAGCAGTGCAAAGTCCTGACACAGGTGTTGTCTGAGAAGCAGTGAGTGAGCTGGTGCATCCAGAGGGGTGGGTGTGAGGAGGTGCCAGGTGAGAGCAGGGAGGGAATGGGTTGTGGACATGGAGGGCCTAGGGACATGTCCAACATCAGTGGTGCGGGTTCCCCTCTGGGAACAGGGTCCTGGGTGAGCTTTGTGACAGGTTTATTTCATTTTTGCATGGACACAAGGTTAAACTTCAGTGCATGACTCTTCTGCAACAAACACCATGAGTAGTGATGCTGGTGGGAGGTAGGTGTTTGATTGGTCTCCTCAGCGGGCAGTAAAAAATGTCTCTGTGAAACGCAAATCCCCCTCCTTTTGTTCTTTTTTTAGCAGTACTGGAGTTTGAACTCAGGGCTTCTTGCTGGCAAGGTAGATGCTCTAGCACTTGCACCATGACTCCAGCCCGGGTCTTGTGGTTTTTTGCCATGGCTGGCCTCAGACTGCAATCCTTCTACCTACATCTCCCATGTAGCTGAGATTACACATGTGAACCACCACACCCAGCTTGCTTGTTAAGATGGAGTGGGGGGGGGTCTCTAACTTTTTTGCCTGGATTGGCCTCAAACCACAATCCTCCCCAGCTCTGGCTCCTGAGTAGCTGGGATTACAGATGTGAGCCACTAGTCTGGCTAAGCCATGTTCTAAAAAACACTGTTGATTTGCTTTTCTTCTTGGACTGGGGCGTGGTTCAAAGGGTAGAGCACTTGCCTAGCATGCACAAAGCCCTGGGTTCAATCCCCAGCACAGGGGGAACAAAATCTCCTCCTCTTTGCATTTCTCTCATAGCAGCACCTACAGCTGAGTTTTTGACTTGGAAGATTTGGTTCTGGCTTCAAAGAAAGGAAACCAATGACTGTGCCTATCCACTCCGTGAGGAGGAGGTCATATCCACCAAAAACAAGCTCAGTTCTTGTGATGTCAGCCAGAGGCGTGGGTGGAGAGCGAGGAGGCAGCACTTTATACTGCTTCCACCACCTCCTGATGCTTTTCAAATGCAGCCATGTGGCTTTTTGGGTTCACAGAGGTGGGGTGGGGGGTGGCAGAGGAGGCTACCTTGACAGTTCCTTGCTGCAGAGGAAGGACCATGGAGTCACACCCCTAGCCAAGTGACAAGAGCCCCCAGCCTGCCACTGCTTCTCCACCTCTGTGGGCAGGTGTGGCAGCTCTCTTGCTAGGTTTGGGGAAGATGCACTTTGTGCATCCAGAGAGAGTTCCTGTCACAGCTCAGGTGTCAACTGAGAAGCCAGCCCAGCCAGGAGGCTACAATTTTGTGCCTGGAAAAGACACCCAGCATCCGGGCCAGACCACCCAGGTGGGGCAGGGGGAGCACACACCCGATAGGTGGCCTGGGCAGGATGCAAAAGTCAGAGGGGCCCAGGCTGTGCACAACTGCACACGAGCAGGGCGCAGGGCTCCCATGGCCCTTGCCTACTACTGACGTGGAGAGTCGGAATGAAGCATTCCAGCAGGCCCAGCTAGGTCTGCCTGGCATCGCTGCAGCAGTGCCCTCAGGGCAGGTGCAGGGTCAGCTCGCCCTGCCCCCACTTTACTCCAGTCCTGGTGTGCCCTTCCCAAGGCCTGGTCATCCTCATGCCAGCTCCTCACCTCCCACCCAATCCCCAGAGTGGGCCAGGGCCGTGGCCGGGCGGGACGGTGCTGCCTGGATGGCCAGGACACCCTGACAGGGCTTGTGCTTGCTTTGAAGGAGGGAGACGGCCACTTGATGGTATTCTGCGAGCTCCTGGGCCTGGAGTGCAGCAAAGTGGCTCAGTGGCTGTGCAACCGCAAGATTGTCACAAGCTCTGAGACCGTGGTGAAGCCCATGACCAGGCCCCAGGCCATCAATGCCAGGGACGCGCTGGCCAAAAAGATCTATGCTCACCTGTTCAACTTCATTGTGGAGAGAATTAACCAAGCGTTGCAGTTCTCAGGCAAGCAGCACACTTTTATTGGTGTTTTGGACATTTATGGGTAAGAGTCTCTCTGTGAGCCTGGCTTTCCCCATTCAAATGTCAAATGCCTTGCTGTTCTTAGATCACCTCCTGCCCTCTCTTCTTTTGTGCCATGCGTGTTGTGACTGTGGCGTTATTTCGCAGGTAGATGTTAAGGACACTCTCCTGGTCCCTGGGTGGTTCACTTAGAGCACTTTACAGGTTAATGACACTCATTGCCAGGTGCTCACTGTATCCCAGCACCCATGGGAATGGTTCCGGATAGCTGCTCAGTTGATCCTCACCCCGTCTGATAGCTATTCCATTTTAGAGACAGGACAGCCAAGGCCTGCGCACCGCTGCTCCACTGCTGACAAGACCCAGCCTGTGTGAGGCTATTGTCCTTTCTGTTCCCCGAGGCCCCTTGAGGTAGAGGCCAGGGAAGTGAGTCACAGCCGGCCCACGCCTGGCCTAGCTACAGGGCCTAGGTCCTCCACCCTCCCACGCCTACATCCTTTTCCATCTCGGGTGACAAAGTCTCCTGGTGCTCCACCCTCTGCCCAGAGATGTGGTACTTCCCCCGCCCAGTCTGGCCTTCTGTCTGCCCATCCTGCTTTTCTTAACCCTGGCTCTAGTTCCAGGTCCTGCTGGAGATCCTTACAGACCAGTGTGAGTGGCTCTGAGGGGCTGGTCACCTTCACTCGGCTTCTGCCTCCTGCCCCCACCACCACTCCCTCACCCCACCCCACCCAGGACCAAGCCTGGCTCCTCGGGAGAAGGCAGCATAGAGCTCCCCCTGGATGGCAGTCCTCCTCCACACCCTGCTGTGCCTCAGCTTCCCCTCGCACACAAAGGGGGAGTCGCACTCTGGACTTACACCTCAGGGAGAGGGCAGGGGCTTAGCCATGCCCTGAACTTTCACCCGGGCAGACACCAGCTCCTCCTGTAGCTGTTCACCAAGGGAGTTACTGTTTAATTTAGATCTGAGCGGACACACACAGCTCCCAATTCTTAGTATATGTCCGCAGTTATAAAATGCTAAAACATTGCTGGGAGAGGCTAATAAATTGTTTACCTTGTCCTCTTCAAGAACAGTTCTGAGCAGCCAATAAAAATTTAAGACTTAAAAAAAGTAGACTTAAGAAAAAGTAATAGTGTGACTAAGAATAATGTTTTTTCATTGTGGTGCAATATGTGATTATTATGTTATCCCCTGTACTTTTCTGTCATTTAAAAAAATGCTTTTAAAAATAACAGTCTTGCTGGGGCTGGTGGTTATGCTTATAATCCTAGCTACCCAGGAGGTAGAAATGAGAGGATCATGTCTAGAACCTGGCCTGTGGCAAAAGCACAAGACCTTATCTGAGAAATAACTAAAGCATAATGAACTGGCGGAGTGTTCATGTAGTACAGCACCTGCCTAACAAGCATGAGTTCAAACCCCAGTACTGCCAAAAAAGAAATAAATAAATAAATAACAGCACTTTAAGAATATATTATTTCATCTGGGTGCCAGCGGCTCACACCTATAATCTTAGCTACTTGGGAAGCTGAGATCAGGAGGATCATGGTTCAAGGGCAGCTCTGGCAAATAGTTTGTGAGACACCCCCCACTCCATTTCAAACTAACCAGAGCAAGATGAACTGGAGGTGTGGCTCAAGTGGTAGAGCACCTGCTTTGCAAGTGTGGCCAGGGGCCAGTCCTTTTCCTCTTTCTCCAATGTGCTCAATTAAGCCTTCCCTGGCCACATTCTGCAGCTTTAGAAAGCTGAGCTCAGTTTGACCTGGAATTACAGAAGCCTGGGAAAAGTTAGCATCACTGGGCTGGGAACAGGCAAAGTCAAAACTGGGAGCCTTGAGGTTTAGTCACCAAGTGGAACAAAGGCTTGTAAGCCTGGCCTGTCACGTGTTTATGTTCTTTGGACCCAAAGTTAAAAGGACTGGATTTGGACCAGATGCCTGGGACTAAGCTCTGCAGTCACACACAGGCCCTCTCCAAACCCAAGTTTCTGTATCTGTGAGGTGGGGCTTCTCTTGCAAGGTCATTATGAAGGTCAAATGGAAGAAATTAGGAAGGCACCTGAGAGCCATAGCAAGCATTGCCCAAATGCAAAGTGGTGTCACAGGCAGCGTGCCTCTGAAATGCTAAATAACAGACTTGGTCTTGGCACTCAGCTCAGAGTGACATTCTGTCCTGTTCTGCACAGCCCCACCCTTGCTTGTTCCCCTTCCTCATTTTTCCCCTCTGGTACTGGGGTTTGAACTCAGGGCCTCACACTTCCTAGGCAGACACTCTATACCCCCAGTCCTTTTTGTCTTTAGGTTATTTTTCAGATAGGGTCTCATGTTTTTGCCTGGGGGAAGCCTCAAACTGTAATCCTCCTGTTTAAGCCTCTTCAAGTAGCTGGGATGACAGGCATGTCCCATCACACATGGCTTTTATTGATTGAGAGGGGGTCTCCCTAACTTTTTGCCTAGGTTGGTCTTCAAATTCCATCCTCCCAATCTCTACCTCCCAAATAGCTGGGATTACAGGAGTGAGCTACTATTCCCAGCCCCAATGAGGCCCTTTTGATTCTCCCCCATGTCCAGTTCTGGCCCATCCTCCATCAGCCTGTTGACTTCTGGACCTCCAAGGATGATGTGGAGGAACGCTGCAGAGCTGTGTGCGTCTGTGGCTGCTCTGAGTTTCCCTGGAGCTGCCAGAGGGCACTCTAGGCCATTAAACCTGCCCAGCAATCCTAAACTAAGCCAAAGTGACTCAGCCAAGCAAGATTCAGGGGAGCTGGCAGGAACCTCTCAGGATAAGAACAAAGCCTTTGCAGGCACTGAGAGAGGGTCAACTGCCTTCCTGGCCCCACTTGCTGGCTGTTGGTCCTTTGATCCTCCTGTGTTAACAGGGGCATCACCACAGGCTCCACATAAGGCAAAGTTAGGGCAAAGGCAGGTAACACCACGCCTCAGCAGATTTCCACTTGCAAGACACTCATCCAGTCAGCTGATAGGTTTGGGGTCTGTGTTAGGTTTGGCCCACACTATGTTTTATAAAGGAAATGATTTGCCTAAAAGTCCAGATTTTTGCCTTCCCTTGAGAATCAGAAGATCTTACGCCCTAGCCCGAGTTCATCATGGCCACAGCTAGCCAGAAACAAGGACAGTCCTGTTTGTTTACCATAGGTGCTACAGAGCTGGCAGGTCGTGTGATGTCCTCCCATTTCCTGTTTCTGTCTCCCGCCTGGCTGCTCCAGGCTGGTGAGTTTGCAGCTCCAGGGCAGCCACAGAGACAGCTGCTGACCTAAAAACAGAGGTGCGCCAGGTGTCTCACACCCAGGCAGGTCTGCTGGGTTATGGTGTATTAATGGCCTTGCTCTTTTCTTCCAGGACTCTGAAAGACACCCTTGCGGAACAAAACTGTGCTTCCTCTCCCCTGAGCCATGGAGGAGAAGGGGTGTTCCTCCACCACTAGGGTGCTGTCCTATTGGAAGTCCAGGCATTACTGTCAGGCAGGCACAAGTGACCTCGGGCCAGTTTCTTACCCTCCCTGATTCATTTCCTGGTCTGTGAGGATAATAACGCTGATATCAGAGTTGTGCAGATTGAACGGTGTGGTGTGTTGTGACATGTCTATTTTTAACCCATGGCTTCGGGTGGGTGTGTTGTGCATAACTGGATTTCTTCCTAGTACAACCAGCAAAAGGGTAATTTATAAACTGACTGCCAGGATATTAAAACTGGCAGCTTTGAGGTATATATAAGACTGGCAGAAAACCTAGTAGACTTATAAGCTATGAAGTGTGTCAAAAAAATACTTACAAATGAATTCATCTGTCCTGCTTGTGTTTAACTTCGTTTAAACTGTATTTCAGTTTTGAAACCTTTGATGTGAACAGCTTTGAACAATTCTGCATCAATTATGCTAATGAAAAACTGCAACAACAGTTTAACTTGGTAGGTGACTTATCTGCCTGCCGGGAACCAGTTCCCAGGCCTGTGCTGGGTAAATGGCACAGTTTGGCTTCTTCCGTCTTCAAATTTCCTGATGGTCAAAGGAGTCTCACACTGGGCCTTTGCCCCCTGCTGGCCACATCTTGAAATAGCACCCTCCCAATTCATCTTTTCTGAGTCACTTGCTATCTTTGTGACCTGCCATTCTCGGACACAGACCTCTGTGCAGCGAGGCTAAACTATTTAGTTAGTTTTCCTCAGGATCCACGTTCTTGTGAGCCTCTGTGTCTTTGCACCTGCTACCCTCTGCCTCCCCATCACTTCGACATCACCTGGGGACTCTGGCTCTTTTGGGTTAGGAAGCCATCTCTGTGGTTGGTTCTTTCCCATGGGACTGTCACTGTTTGCATGTCACCTGGAGAGGCCAGGACTTGAGAGCCTTGTCTCTCTGAGGCCAGGCCTATCTCAGTACATGCAGTAGTAACCAGATTATGGCTGTGGAGTATGCAAATGAGCTTCTGCCATCTCAATTTAGAGCAAGTCGGAGCTGTTACCTTCCCAATTACAAGATCAAATATGCCTCCCAAGAAACAGGCAAGAGATGGATTCCACAGTTTCCCTCAGCAGCAAGACTCATTCAGAAATGGTTGTTGGCAGTTCTGGGGTTTGAACTCAGTCTTAAGCCCCACCACCAGCCCTTTTTGCTTTAGTTATTTTTCAGGTAGGGTCTTGTACTGTTTGCCTGGGCCAGCCGTGGACCTTGATCCTCCTACCTCTGCCTCCTGCTTAGCTAGGACCACAGCTGTGCACCACTGTACCCAGCTTGTTTGTTGAGATGGAGTTTCACTAACTTTTTGCCTGGGCCGTACCCAAACTGCAATTGTCCCAATCTCTACCTCCCAAGTAGCTGGGATTACAGGCATGAGCCACCACATCCAGACCTCATTCAGAAACTTTTATCGAGTACCAAGAATGTATGCCAGATAGTGAGTTGAGTACTGAGGTTCAAAAATTAATAGTATACCTAAAAATTGTTGACTAAATGTTACTTAGGGATATTTTTGCATTTTGATATTGCTATATGTGTTACATACAAATTTAAACTCTTAAATAAGTTCCCTGAATGCAAGAACTTTATTGAATTCACTTTTGAATCTGAAACAGTGTTGTGCTTTGTTCCTAACCAGAGATCAATAAAATTAAGAATTGATAGGATATCATTCTGTATTGGTGGTACAGAAGTTTGAACTCAGGGCTTGTTACTTACAAGGCAAGGGCTCTACCACTTGAGCCACTCCGCCAGCCATATTCGCTCTGTTTATTCTAGAAGTAGGGCCTCTGTTTTTGCCCAGACCAGCCTGGGCCACAACCCTCCTATTTTAAGCTTCCCACCACAGCTGGAATGACAGGTGCACACCACTATGCTCAGCTCAGTTGCTTATATTTTGCAACAATGTCCTCACTTTTATGTTTGCTACATTTCTGTCAAACCAGTAAAACCTGTGCTTTACTAACAACCTCCAATTTCCTGTTAGCTTACATCCTACACCATGGCAACAAGTCCAGGGAACTGGACTAGTATGATTGTAATTTACACTAGAATCCACACTTTGGAATCCTAGCAGCTACTCCACGGGAAGTCACGCTATCCGGCACTGGGGGACATAGCTCCCGACAGCCCTGTGGCACTGTGGACAGCGGGGCTTCTGCAGGAAGCTTGAATCTCCACTGTCCCCCTCCTCCCTCTGGAACCTCGGGATCTGAGCCTCCACCTCCTCATTTTAAAACAAGTCAATAATACTGCCTAAGACCCTTGCAAGGAGACCCAGGCTGGATCCCACTCTGTGGTGTTTCTGAATTAATCCCCATAGAAGTGCTAGTAGTCAAGCTGTTGCAGACTTGTTTTTCAACACTTAATAACAACAGCTGGGGTTGATTCCCAGTGCAGAGTCAGGTAACCCACTCGGGGTCAAACTGTGTCTGCAATCCCTGGCTTGGCCCTGGGCTCCAGCCCTGCTTCCCTCCAACACACCTGAACCTCAGAATAACACATGCCAGGGGCTCTTGGTCCTCTCTTTCTTTCTCTCTTGTTCTTTCCACTCTTGCTTTTCCTCTTATTTCTTCTTCTCTTCCTTCTTGTCTTTCTCTGCCCTCTCCTCTCCCCTTTCAGTTACCCGTCAGTGTGCAAGCCCTCCTGGGAGGGGGAACACTGGCACAAGTCAGCACTGCGGTCCCCAAGAACACTGGGCAGAGTCCTGACGGGTCTCACTGCCCTCCCTCTGCCCCCAGGTATCATGATGGCTGGCCTCCTCCCCCTCAGGGGGTCCTCACTGGTCCTAGAGGAAGGCCACAAGACTTGAGTTCTCTAGGGAGGACATAAGGCCTTTGTGATCTGCCCTCCGTCATCCTCTGCAGTCTTGTGCCCACCCCTGCCCCTGCCCAGTCCCTGCTGTGCTCTGCAGCTCATGCAAAAGCACCTCTCGGGCCTTTCTTTCTGTTCACCGCCCACCACCCAGCTACTTACTGTCCAGCCTCTCCTCCTCCAGGGTGAGCTCAGCCATGTCCTTGTCCTTGTCCTTGTCCTTGGGGAAGCATCCTGACGCCCTTCGTCGTGGGCTTCTCATGATGGCTTCCCCAGCCCCATCCAGGCTGTACTCAGCCACAGAGGCTGCCTCTGTCATCGGATGGCAGCAGTGGCCACAGCCAAGAGCAGCAGGGGCTCCAGGAACACACTGAGTACCTGCTGAGCTGGCTCTGACACAGGCCGGCCCTGGACCTGGCACACTAGGACCACTCAGACTGCTGGAAGGACTACAACTAAGCCACATGGAGCTCAGTGACATTGATCCTGGGGAGGGGGGAGGGTGGCAAGTACTTCAGGGTCTTCTTGTGTAAGCTGACCACTCATCCACGCTGTCCAGAGGCTGGGGTCCAGCCCTTTGGGAGTGCACTTGAGTAATACTCTGTTTTCCTTTACTTTCCATGTTAACTTTTGGATACCCAGCACGTCTTTAAACTTGAACAAGAAGAATATATGAGAGAAGATATTCCATGGGCTCTGATAGATTTTTATGACAACCAGCCAGTCATTGACCTGATTGAATCAAAAATGGGCATTTTGGAGTTACTGGACGAAGAGTGCTTGGTAACTGTTAAAATAATTGTTTCTTCAGCTTCGGGGTAGTGAAGAGCCATCTTTGTAAAGTCCCAGTGTCCTGCCCAGTGGGCTGGATATTAATTCTGGGGCACGATGACTCCTACCTGTAATCTAGATACTTGGGAAGTAGAGATAGAGAGGATCACAGTGTGAGGCCAGCCCCCGCGAAAAGTTAGAAGTCTTTCTCAATCAATAAGCCAGGCGTGATGCACATTTATAATCCCAGCTATATGGGAGGCGTAGGTAAGAGGATTGTGGTCTCAGGCCAGGCCCTGGTAAAAGCAAGACCCTGTCCAAAAAGCTAGGAAAACAAGAAGAGCTGGAAGAGTTGGCTCATGTGTTATAGTGCCTGCCTAGCATGCACAAGGCCCTGAGTTCAAGTCCCAGTACCACCACCAAAAGAAAAATGATAATGTTGAGGATTTACTGTGATTTTTTGGGTACCGGGATCCTCAGTTCCATGGTTCTTCTCACAAGTTTTCTTTCCCAGGGCTTTTGCAGTGACATAAGATTGACCGAGAGTTCTGGAATGCTCTTGGGGAGGGGTGCAGAGGTCAAGGCAGCCTGTAGGAAGTACCTCTAATTTGTAAGGCATTTCCTAGTTGACCGGTGCCACAAAGAAGTCATTCAAGAGCCATTTAGATACATAGGGTACTGAATTTAATCACTGGTTTCAGAATCACTGTCATCAAGCAGTTTTGTAGGAGCTTTGTTTGAGGAGGTGGTTCATCAGACAGGAAAACATTTTTCCTGGGAAGGGGGAGGTGGACATACCCAGGTGCCAGTCCATTCCTGTCCCACTGGGAATGAAGTCATGCCTGGAACTCTCTGATTTTCCTGAACCTCATGACTTCTTCAGGAAGAAGTAAAATACTGCCCATTTGGCAGGTGTAACAGGGTCCATTCTTATGTCATTATGTGGATGCTTCCTTTCAGCTTAAAACATTTTATTCTTCTGAAAGGGCACTGTGCAGCCCCATAAACACCATCTAAAGAGCCCATACTATACGCTCTTGTTATTGTGGCTCACGCCTGGAATCCTAGCTACTTGGGAGGCTGAGATTGGGAGAATTGTGATTCAAGGCCAGCCAGGGCAAACAGTTCACAAGACCTCATCTCCAAAATAACTAGAGCAAAATGGACTGGAGGCATGGCTCAATCAGTCGAGGGCCTGCTTTACAAGCATGAAGCCGTGAGTTCAAACCCCAGTCCCACCAAAATAATAATAACAATAAAAGAAAATCACCCTAAATATTATTAAGATCAAGGACACGTAATAGCTAGAGCTGCTTTTTAACAGACTCCAGCCTCCCTCTAATCTAGAGCGACCCACCCGAGGGCCAGACCCCGGCTTTTCACAGCAGTGCTTCTCCCGACTCCGGTTGGCTTTCAGCTTTCTAACCTGATGTTTGCTTTGCTTTTCTCTTCCAGTTGCCACATGGAACTGATGAAAATTGGCTCCAAAAGCTGTATAATAATTTCATCAACAAGAACCCTTTATTCGAGAAACCCAGAATGTCAAACACGTCCTTTGTCATCCAGCACTTTGCAGATAAGGTACATTGAGGCCCTGAGCAGCAAGGCGCCAGCTAGGGTGGGTTCCAGTGACACTTGGCATGGAGTTGTGAGGAAAGGGAGGGGCACATGTGTCTGCATCTGTGTGCCCAACAATCCTGAACTTGTTCTTATGGCAAAAGTCCAGAGTTCCAGCTGCACCGTGTTAGAGGCATGCTCTTTATGACCTTCATTTCTGACTGGGATCTGCTGTAAGATCATTAACTTCTGATCAATTTATATTCTCTGCGAAATCATGATCAACTTAGCATGATTATTGCCTGTGACAAAAGTTCATTTATTGCTTGTTTGTTTTTTGGTACTGGGGATTGCACTCAGGGCCTTGTGCTTGCTAGGCAAGCACCATACCACTTGAACCACACCCCTCCCCTGTCCTCCTTTTTTTTTTTTTTTTTTTTAACTAAACAAATATTACTTTTATTAAAAGAAAGTATATGTTTAAATCATCTAGGAAGCTTAGAAAATGGAAGGAAAGAAAGACAACACACCATAAGCGCCTGCCCTTGACTCCCATTGTCATCTCACTTTCCTTCCTAAGAGAGCTCCTGCCCTCCCCCACTTCCCAGCTGTTGCTCTGGTGGCCAGGCCCAGGACCTAGGGATCACAGGACTGGCTTGAGCTGTCTGTCTCACAAAGGTCATTGAGGGACATCAGAGTGACTGCAGGCCAGGGGAGGAGACAGTCACCTGGAGAGCCAGACCCACCTTTGGGCGAGAGTAGCACTGTTATTGTGGCCCAGTTAGAGTACTTAGAGCTTTTCAGAACTTTTCAGAATTTCAGAATTCTGTCCCACAGGGAAAGGGAAAAAAGAAAAGTTCCAACTCCATGAAAGCACATGTGAGATTTGTAGCGTATAGTTTCTGTACATTAAACTCTCACCAGCTGCTTCCAAGAAGTCTTGCCTTAGCAGGGCACCAGTGGCTCGTGCCTATAATCCTGGCTACTCAGGAGGCAGAGATCAGGAGGATCGTAGTTCGAAGCCAGTCCCAGAAAATAGTTTGCAAAACCCTGTCTCAAAAATACCCAACAAAAAAATAGGGCTGGCAGAGTGACTCAAGTGGTACAGCACCTGCCTAGACCTCCTAGTAGGCACGAAGCCCTGAGTCAGAACCCCAGTACCACAGAAGAAAAGAAGTACTTCTGCCTTAAAACAATGAGCAGCATTTTGGAATGGATCAGTGGGTAAAGAAACCAGACCCACTGTAGGCTTCCATTAGGGTCTCAGTCTAGACCAGAGGGGCGAAGTACTGTGATAGTGAGGCAGCTATGCTCAGTTGCAGCAGCCCAGGGTCCCCCACAGAGGCACCCAGCTGTTCACACAGATTGTCTCCTTCAACCAGAAAAGGCTTGTGTCTGGAATACCTTTTCCCAGACACAGGGTCTATGGCTCGTAGACCATTCTGAAAGATTTTGTGCAAAATCCATATACTTCCTTCACAAGGAAGAGTTTACAAACAGCCAGTGCTCCTGGCTCCTAACACACCAGCAAGGACACTTACCTATCTGCAGGAACACTTCCTCACACAGCAGGACAAAGCAAGGCCTGTACCCAGGCACCCTCCCTGCTTCTAGATTCCAAAACCCTGAAAGACCTCTTTCCTCATAGTCAATTAAAAAAATTTGGGGGGGCAGTACTAGGGTTTTAATCCAGGGCCTTCTGCATGCAAGAAAGTATTCTGCCACTGAACTATGTCCCCAGCCTCAAAATTAAATCACAGAGTAAAAATACAACCCAGAGGCATGATGACCTGGGGGCAGTTGTCAAGCTTGAGGTGTTTGAGAAGTCTTACTAACTAGAAAGGGCACACAGAGAGTGGTTCCAAGTCAAATTCAAGTGGTGCAAACATTTGCCCACTCACAGTCTGACTCAGGCCTGGCAAGTTTCCAAGAGCTTGCAGGCAATGGGGTGCTTTCCTTCCCTCTCCACCATATCATTGCTAACTTAGGAAAGCCTTGCTCTTTCAACCCAGTGGGCCCTGCTGAACCTTTTCTCCCTCCCTGTGGCTTCAGAAGCAAAGGGAGCACGATGTCAGGTGTTCTGTTATGAACTGCTCATAGTACAATGACCAGTCACTGTAGCCAGAAGGAACCAGCAGTTGAGAACAAGTGGACAGTGGGCTAGAGAGAATTCCAGGTGATACATCAGAGGACCAGCACCATCTCATAAATAAAGGGATTGCTGTGGTAAACAGAAACCAAGTCTCTTGGTACAGATGGCTTCAAAACCCTTTTGATTATCCTTTCTTTAAGAAGAGGGGCTGGGGTGTAGTCAGTGGTACGGCAGGAAGGAAGGAAGAACAGGAGGAAATGAAATTTGTACTTAGGTGCCATCTGCTTCAGCCTCGCTGGAGCTCATTCATCCCTTTCTCTGCACAGGTGGAGTATAAATGTGAAAGCTTCCTTGAGAAGAACAGAGACACTGTCCATGACATGCTGGTGGAGGTCATGAGAGAAGGCAAGGTTTGTGGAGCCTCGGGTAGTGAATGCTGTTCTGTGCATGACTGACATGGATCTGGGGAGAGAGAAAGAGAGGACAACTCTGGGCAGTAACATGTTGTAGTTCATAGATACAAAAATAACTATTTTGGAATTGGGAGTAAAATACCTTTCTAGCATTCTAAAGCATTGTAAATCATGGTATGCAAAATCAGAAATCAAATGTGCGAATGACAGGAAAGACAAATGGCGCAACCAGTTAAGGAACCACAGTTCCATTTGATCCATCCATTTACACACACTACCTGACACAGCACTGAGCACACGTCAAGTCTGGACGCCCTAACTTACAGGGTGCATGGTAAACGAGCCTGGTGGGTTCCCTCTTGGAGCTCACTTTCTAGGGAGGACAGCTCTACATCCCTTTAACACGTGAGCATGCAGGGTTAAGAAGTGCGAAGCCTCCAGGAAAATCAGAACGAGAACGTGGGGGAGGGATGTCAGGGAGAGAGAGCTGCTCTGGATGTAGAAGGTGCTGGAAGCCACAGTTCTACATCACGAATGGTCACCAAATGAATGACTTCAGGCCTTTTCCCTGATATGGTTCTTTATTAAATTTTGAGAGTAAGGATATTTTATACCTGAACCTTCATTTCTATGATAATTTCATTGTATTTACTTTCCTTCTATTAACAGGTCCCAGTGCATTGTCAATGGTCAGGTTTTTTGACAATTTTCCAAATGAGTCCAAGCCCTTACACTAAGAACCATAAACGCCAGGCCATAGCTCCTGCAGTGATGAAAGCTGACTTCCAAAAAAGCATTCCGTGACAGAATGGACTGCATCTGGGCACAAAACTAGTTGATTTAATTTGCCAGTTGTTTACTTAGCCCTGAGATTACCCCAGGGTCCAGATTGAAGGAGGAAGGCAAATCGTGTCAAGCATATCTGTGGGCATTTCAGATGCTTCCATTCCCCAGGTGCTGTGAGGATGTGTCAGGCAGGGCTCTGCCCTAAGGGGCTTCATCCATGTCTGCCTTTAAAAGAACAAAACACAAGATTCACTCTGAGGGAAGTGGGTTTAAAGAGGTAATGGACACAAGACAGAAAGTAATAGGTGCCTTAAAGGAAGTACATATAAAAGATGAAGGCAAGGGTTAATTCAGGCTGTGGCATGGGTGAAGACGGTGTGACAGGACATTTGAACAGCCTCTATTCAGGAGTAGGGCTTGGATCTGTGGGGCAGAAGGAGGAGGCTCCAGACTAGCCAGAGAAGGCGGCAGAAGACACAGCTGTCCTGTCTGTCCCTAGTCCTGGGAAAGAAACCATAAGCTATCCTTAATGAGGAGGATCTCCCTGTGTAACTGAGCTTTGGCTGTGGACAGTAGCCAAGGTCATTACTCAGCCACGCACTGGTTTAGATGGTTGCTGTGACATTTATTTGGTCTGTTCCAGTAAGGACAACACTTTTGGACATTGAAATCCTCTCTCTTCATTCCAGTTTCATCTTTGCGCCCATTTTTTCCAAGAAAACCCAGTTCCTTCTTCCCCTTTGGTTCGATGATCACAGTTAAATCTGCAAAACAAGTCATCAAACCCAACAGCAAGCATTTCCGGACCACAGTTGGAAGCAAGGTATAGAGGAGCAGTGAGGGTGTGTGGTCAGGGGCAAGGCCAGGACCAGGGAGCCACATTCCGGGCCTGGCCACAGACAGTGTGCCTCTCCAAATCTAGTACACACACAAATGCAAAACTTCATCGCTGTCATACCCCTGGCTCCAAGCGGCACACACCTGAGCCCCCACCTGTTCACAAAAGAGCAAGTTTTACTGGCTTTCTGCTATCTGGGAGTTTTGGACAGAGCAGTGGGACATTGACAGTGAGCCACAGTCATTGTCTTAAAACTATCATTATAGATGATTGCAGGGAGTTAACTTTCTCATTGAGCAACTTGCCAAAGCTAGACTTGGTTTTACCTGGAGCTGAGCCTTAAATCACCCAGAACGATGCTGACCTCTGACCTGCCTCCCAGTTCCGCAGCTCTCTGTACTTGCTCATGGAGACCCTCAATGCCACCACACCCCACTATGTCCGCTGCATCAAGCCAAATGATGAGAAGTTGCCCTTTGAGTGAGTATTCATTCTTATGCTTCGGAGAACGTAAACACTGCAAAAGCAGGTTCTGCCATGATGCTGGAGATTTGCTAACAATTCCCATGACTTTGCTCTGTTTCTGAGTTTTTAAAATTTCTATGTGTTAAACTAACCCTGTGGCCAAGTCGCCTCATTTCCAGGACTAAGCAAAGGGGCTAGACTTGTAATTGTAGTCTACACCTAAAGTTCATGCAGCCAAGAAGGTGGCCCCTTTGCTTGATTATAGACGTGTGTGTGTGTGTCTGTGTGTCTGTGTGTCTGTGTGAGAGGCAGAGAGAGAGAGAGTGTATGTGTGTGTAGAGAGGAGAGAGGAAAAGGGAGCGGGGAGAGGAAAGGAGAAGAATCAGGTTGTAGGGGTCAGAAGATGCGTCCTCACACATAGCCTGAGTCATTAGATTTGTTCTCAGGACCCAAGAACAAAACCCCAAACGCATGAGGGCAAGTTGTAGCGTCTTTTAGCTCACTGTAGCTAAGAGACTCGGGGTCACCAGCATTGTCAGTCCTAACCTAGAGTGCCAACTGTTGGGTGTTTTACAAAGGACATTCCTGGTTTCAATGGGTGCCAGAACCAGGCTGCTCACACTTTTCTTTCCACTTGTCATTTGAAGCACAGCCCAAAGGTCTTTTCCCTCCACAAGGCCTCCCCGGCACCTGCTTCAAGGTTAGAACTCCTTCCTCCACCTTCCCATAATGGGCTTAAGTGTTTAAGTAGGAGTGCTGTTGCCTGACATTCCACAGGTCCTCCTCAAGTGTCTTCCATGAGGCTACCACGAGGGGACAGGGCTGGATCCTACTGCTCAGGAGCTCGAGGTCCAGGCTGCCCTGCTGTGTCTGTTTGTATCATGTGGCTTCTTCATCCAGAGGTTCACAACCTCTCTGGTCTACCAGAGCCACTGTGAGGAAAGCCCGGGAAGAATTTGCCATTTTCAGTAGAAAAAAGTAGCAGTCACCAGTTGTAATGAGCCTGTTCTGTGGGTCTTACTTGCTGCATCTTTTTGTAGTAAGATGCCAATGCTTAGAAGTCAGGTTGTTGTAATTCATCAGCCTCACAGATTTGAAGAGTGTTTTGAGGTGTAATCTCTTTGGAAATGGACCAAACTCCTGAGCTCATAGAGCATACAAGACATACTTATAAACAGATTATTGACAGGAAAAAATCTGCCCTCTTTAAGGTTTGACTCCAAAAGAGTTGTCCAGCAGCTACGAGCCTGCGGTGTTTTAGAAACGATTCGGATCAGTGCCCAGAGCTACCCTTCCAGGTATGGTGCCAGTCCTTGCTCTTTGGGCTACTTCAGGGGTGATTTCCCCCAAGGGCAGGGCTGCCATATTTTGTCACACACTTTTGGCTTCTGTAAAGTGTGTCCCATATTTCTCCCACTGCTCCTTCTGGGAAGGCCAGAGGAAGGTGAGAAATAGGCTCTTAGTTACTTTCATACCTGAAAAAAAATCTTGAGGGAGGAAGGATTTGTTTTGCCTCATGGTTTTGGGGCCTCAGTCCACATTCACTTGACTCTGTTGCTTCTGGGCCTGTGTGTGGAGAGGCAGAGCGTCGTGGTAGGGATCATGTGGCAGAACAAAGCCACTCACCTTGTAGCCAACAGGAGGCAGAGACAGACAGGAAGAGGTACACCCTCAAAAGTCATGCCTCCCAGTATCCTATTTCCTCCAACCAGGTTCCACTTCCTAGTTTCCGTCACCTCCCAACTGCCATCAAATTATGACTCCATCGTGGATGGATCCACTGATGTGGTCAGAACCCTCATGATCCAGTCCCTTTCCAAAAGCCCCACCCCTGAGCATTGCACTGGGGCCAAGCCTTCAACACATGAGCCTGTGGGGGGACACTTCACATCCAAACCATACCGTAGGCCATGTGTGGGACAGAAACCACCAGCACCCACTACTCCATCCCAGCAGGTGATCCTCACTGCTTTGCCACAGGGAGAGCTAGCAGGGAGGAAGAGAATGGGCTCTAGGGTGGAGGGTCAATACACAGGGCAGGGAGCAGACACACATGCTGGGGTGGACTTGGTGGTGTCCCGGGGGAGGGACCCAAGGTCAGCACCATCATCCCCAGAACAAACTCCACCACCCCAATGTCACAATGGCAGTGACAGGAGAGGCAGCAGAGCCCATGGTGTGAACAGCTTCCTCCCTCTTCGATTTCCAGGTGGACATACATTGAGTTCTACAGTCGCTACGGCATCCTCATGACCCAGCAGGAGCTGTCCTTCAGTGACAAAAAGGAAGTATGCAAGGTGGTCTTGCACAGGCTCATCCAGGTCAGTCTTCCCCATCACTCCCAAAGCACAGGCTTGTCCTGGAAGCGTGTCTCCCAGAAGCCTTGTCATCATCACCAAGGGGACCACATTCACCGGCATACATCCCCTGACAACAACATCTTCTTTAGGGACCCACCTTCAATCTCTGACCTTCCCCAGCCCCTCCCACAATCTAAGGTTAGATTTGCTTTGCTCTCCCACAATCTAACTCAGGTTTCCCCAGACCTGGCTTAGAGGACATGGGTAGCCAAGGTGCTGCCCAAGTCAGGCAGGCTCCAGACCTGGCGCTCAGTGTGGACTTAGACTATTGCTGAAGAAATCAGTTAGAATGGAAAAAGGTAGGAAAGATATGGTGGCCAGGAAATGGGACAGTGAGGAGAACCCAAAATCAAGACAGGAAATCAGATGTCCTAAAGCCCTTCTGTTCCTGAGGAAAATCATGCAAGAGAGGAGGGCTGAGGTTCTCCAACAGCCTGACTGAGACTTGCTGAGAACCTCCCCACCCCTTCCACCCCACAGAACGGGTAGAAGCCTGGCTTCCCCTTTCTCCAAACTGGCTTTAACCAGCAACTACAAGTATAAGTTTCTAGATTTTTTTTTTGGTGGTGGTGGTGGTACTGGGGTTTTGAACTCAGGTACTTGCCCTTGCTAGGTACTCTACCACTTGATGTTATGTCCCCAGTCCTTGAAGTATAAATTTCTAGATCAGAATTTTTGTGCTTCATGATAAAAGCGAGAGCACACAAGGGAGGGGTGAGGATAGGTAAGACACCTAAAAAATTATCTAGCATTTGTTGCCCTTAATGCAGAGAAACTAAAGCAGATATCTTAAAAGCAACTGAGGCCAATAGGAAAAGGGACCAGGAACTAGAGAAAAGGTTAGATCAAAAAGAATTAACCTAGAAGGTAACACACACGTACAGGAAATCAATGTGAGTCAATGCCCTGTATAGCTATCCTTATCTCAACCAGCAAAAACCCTTGTCCCTTCCTATTACTGCTTATACTCTCTCTACAACAAAATTAGAAATAAGGGCAAAATAGTTTCTGCTGGGTATTGAGGGGGTGGGGGGGAGAGGGAGGGGGTGGAGTGGGTGGTAAGGGAGGGGGTGGGGGCAGGGCAGAGAAATGACCCAAACCTTGTATGCACATATGAATAATAAAAGAAAAAAAAGCAAAAAAAAAAAAGAAAGAAATATGTAAGTATATACATTAAAAAAATTTTTGTGCTTTATGTGAGAGAAAAAAATGTGTCAAAGTAACAATAATTTTGGAATGGTTGAATCTCTACGTGTCTAATCCAAACGCAAGGTCGAATCTGAAAGGTTTTCTTTCTTTCTGATTATATCTTTTCTTTTTTTTCTCTCTTCCAGGATTCTAATCAGTACCAGTTTGGTAAAACCAAAATTTTCTTCAGAGCAGGACAAGTGGCTTATCTAGAGAAACTCCGATTAGATAAACTGAGGCAGGGTTGCATCGTGATACAAAAGCATGTCCGTGGCTGGCTCCAGAGGAAGAAGTTCCTCCGAGAGCGGCAAGCTGCCCTGGTCATCCAGCAGTACTTCCGGGGCCAGCGCACAGTGCGGTATGTGGGGACCAACAGGAAGGGAGACAACTGCATGACTTCCTTTGCTCTGTTATCTCCAGGAGGAGGGGTGTGGAGGATAAAGGACCTTTGCCTTTGCCTGCCCTAGGGTACAAATGGGGAGGAGTGGGGAGGGGACTGTAGTGGCTATAAGCCTGGAGGTGAGAAGGGCATGTCCCTCAGAGACAGCTAGTGTTGACCCTCTCTGGTGTCCCTGTAGCAGAGCTGATGGCCAGGACCCTGAGAGGAGGAAGCCCTGACCAAGGTTGTGCCCAAGGGGTCAAGGTTCCAGTGAGACCAAATAGAGGCCTAGGGTTCCTTCCCCTGGGAACTGGAGATACCAAGACCAGCAGAGTCCTGGTGAAGACCCTGAATAAAGATGCCAAGATAGCCCTGACATGTCTGCCTACAACAGTGGGGGTGGACCATGATGGAGGAGACCCATGACAGAGGGGACCTGGGGTGGAGGAGGCCCATGGCACAGGTTTTAGGACCCTGCCTAAAAACCAACCACAATCCCCTGGGTGGGAAGCCTGCAGTACTCCCATGGGGACTTCACCAGCTATACTGACTCCACCCCTCCCTAAGGGGTCCTGAGAGTCTACAAGACCTGTGACCCACTGCAAATGACCATGGGATCATCCATGTCATTCCATGCCCTCATGGCACCTGGTGGAGAGTGGGGGGCCAGGGTGCTTGCAAGAGGCCCTGCTTGCTGACCAGCAAGGCAGTCTCCTTCCCCAACAGCTAGAACTTCTCTGGAGGGACCTGCCACCCTCCATAAGGTGCTGAGGCCATTGGGAAGGCAGGTGTTCAAGGGTTGGGCTGGTCTCTGAGCACACCTTCTGAGTTTGAGGCCCCTGGCAGTCAGCTTTCTGTTATTCTAATCAACTTAGCAAAGGTTTGCTTTGGCTCACAGATTTCAGTCCATGATCAATTTGGCCCTGTTGCCTTGGGCCTGTAGTGAAGTGGCACATCATGGCAGGAGCACATGGTGGAACAGCACCACTCACTCATGGCCAAGAAGCAAGAGAGGAAAGAGACCAGGGTCCCTTTGCAGGCACATCCCCAGTGACCTAAAAACTTCTCATGAGGACCCACCTCCTAAAGGCCCCACTACTTCACAATAGCGCCCAGCCGTGAGCCAAGCCTTTAATACACAGGTCTTTGGGGCACCTTCCCGATCCAAAGTATAGCCAGGGTCAACCCCCAGCAGATCTGGGCTTCTCTTCGTAGGCTTGCACACCCTCCTGTGCTTCTGGGCTCAATTAATAACAGAAGTCTCTAGGGGAGGAATCCACAGCTCTCCTACCCCATACCCACACTCCCTTACCATGTGGGAATCTCCCAGACCTGATAACTCTATGTCTGCTTGCCTTTTGGGCCTGTCCCACTCGTTCCATCCTGCTGCTGCTCTGGCTTAGGCCTCTGTCACAGCATGTGCTTTACACTTGACAGCACAGCCTTCTGTCCCTGCCTTTCCCTCATCTGCCTCAATAGGGCCTGACTGAGCTATAGCACTAACCTGCCTTCAGTGCTTCCTACAGAGTAACATTTCATCATCTGCATGGTAGTTGAAGCCCTCTGTGTCACTCAGCTTCCTATCATAATTTGGTTCACAGTCACAGATGTCAGCCTGTAGTCACTTGGCCCTGTTGCTTTGGGCCTGTGACAGCACAGTACATCATGGTGGGAGTCCATGGCAGAGGAGGCTACCCACTTCATGGCAGCTAGAAAGCAAACAGAGAAAAACAGGGAGGGGCCAGGGTTCCAATCTCCCTTTCCAGGACACACCCCCAGTGACCTAACTTCCTCCCATTAGGCCCCACCTCTAAAGTTACCACCACCTCCTAATAGTCATATGGCTGTCAACTAAGCCTGCAACTCATGGCCTTTGGGGGCCATTCCAGATCCAAACTCTAGCAACCTCCATGAGGGGCCTGCATGTTCATAAGAATGACTGTCCTGTGAGGGAAGACCCATGTTGTCCAGTTCCCCATTGTATCCTCACCAAGAATGCATGGCACCATGGCTATTGTAGAGTTGGCATTCAATAGATATGTTTTAAAATAACAAATGGTCCCATCTGTTTTCCTAATCCCATTGACTGCTAATTTTTTCTGTGTATCCTATATTCTAGCAACTACAGACTAATTCTATTTCTGAATATTTTGGGCATTCCATGGCCTCTGTGCCTTTGCTCACACTCAGTTGGAAATGTCCTCCCTGGCCCTTACTGTGGACAGAAGCCCTGCTTCCCATCACAGGCTGGCTCCTGGGTCAGCTCTTCCCAAGTACAGTGTTCTTTTTCCTGTGCTCTCACACATACCACAATTCATTAGTTACTTCATTTTCCCTCTTTCTTGGCCATTTTTGACTGTCTGCTCCATGGGGTTGTCAGTTTTGAAGGAAAGAACTTTGTCTTCACCTCTAGTCCTTTAGTTAGGAGTTGGCACACTTTTTCTGTAAGAGTCAGATAATAACTATTTGATGCTTTGAGGTTTTACAGTCTCTGTTACAACTATTGAGTTCTGTCATTGTAGCATAAAAGTAGCTATATTCATCCACTTTCTGTTCCTATCACAAAAGACCTGAGTCTGGGTGCTTTATAAAGAAAAGAGATTTACTTAACTCACAGTTTTGGAAGCTAAAAGTCCAAGATTGAGCAGTCCCATCCATTTGGCCTCTGGTAAGAGCCTCCTTAGCCATGTCACAGCATGGTAGAGAAACAGGAAGAGACATGACCACATCCAGAAGAGGCCAAGAACACACAGTGGCCATGCTTTATACAAATGACTCTCACAAGCGCTAACTCACTCTAGAGACCGACTTTGATCCCTTCAGAGGACAGCATCCTCAGTGACCTAATTACCTTCCACTAGGTCCTGCCTCTTAAAGGTCCCACCACCTCTCACATGGCGCTGAGGTCATGCTGGGGGATGGGGGGGGCTCCAGTCATAATCAAAGCATTGCCTCTGCCAAAGGCCATGTGTAAATAACAGGCATTGTGTGACACTAGATTAGTGGGTGGAGACCGAGGCACAGACACACTCCTCCCTGACAAGTGGAAACTGAGGTCCCAGACAACACAGCCACTCTCCGTTCTCCCCCTCCCCAAGGAAAGCCATTACAGCAGCAGCCTTGAAGGAGGCCTGGGCGGCCATCGTCATTCAGAAGCACTGCCGTGGATACCTGGTCCGCAATCTGTACCAGCTGATTCGTGTGGCCACCATCACCATCCAGGCCCATGCCCGTGGCTTCCTGGCAAGGAGGAGCTATCGGAAGGTAGCACAGCCGCTCTGACCATGGGTTCCCAGACCCGGCTTTCACAGTCAGTGGCAAGGGGACTTTGCACAAGGAGCCTCAAGGCCACACGTAGGGAGCTCTGCTGTGACAGGGCTGTTCCCGCGGCCTGCCAGGCAGGGTTTGCTGGTTGGTTGGTTGGTTGGGGAGTCTGGGTGGAAGGGGGCACTATGGGTGTTGCATGTTCCAGGGAGAAGTGGTGCAGACCCCGTTCACATGTCCCACAATCTTGTCTTAAAGATGCTGGAGGAGCACAAGGCTATGATCCTACAGAAGCACACCCGTGCCTGGCTGGCCCGGCGCAGGCTGCAGAACATCCGGCGGTTCGTACTCAACATTCAGCTGACCTACAGGGTCCAGCGCTTGCAGAAGAGGCTAGAAGATCAGGTAGGCACTCGGATGCTTCCCCAACATCTACTTTCCCCAACAGATTTATTATATCTGCACCGAATCCTTAGCTATGCTGTCATGGCTACACCCTGCTAGGCTTTGTGATGCACATCTGTAATCCCAGCCCTTGGGAGGCTGAGACAGGAGAATCATAAATTCCAGGCCAGCCTGGACTACATAAGAAGACCCTGTCTCAAACACACACACACGCACACACACACACACACAGATTATTAGGAGATAAAACATTTACATGGATTAAAGTTAGAAAACAGAAGCACACTCTAAAGTGTTACTGCATATCCAGGACGTGTGCCTATGGGAAGCTGTGCTGCCCTGAGGCAGGGGCACCCTTCTCTTACTTGCACAAAGACACCATCTGCACACTACCACGCATGCTATCAACACCTCCATTAGCTCAGAAAAGCAGCCATGTTCTGACTTGCCCATGGGTGCCATAGGCCAGCTGCAGCCCTGCCTAGTGTGGTAGGGAAGAGCATTCCATGTGCCCTCAGCCAGTGGAAGACTGAGGAATATTCAGTGTCCAGTTGCGCAGAACTCACTGCTTTGTAGTAATTCTCCAAAGGTGAACATGTAACCTGGCCCTCAGCACTGCTCTAGGCATCCTTATGAGTGGATGGGCATGTGGACAGTGGATTTGAGCTTTAGTGACACTTCTCCCCCATCATTCTGCTTTGTCCAGGCAGGTTACAGGGCTGTGTGTCACATAGCTGGTACGCAGTGGCACCTAAAGCAGCCCTGGCCACAGTGGAGCAGTGCCTGGCTCTGTTCTAGCTGCGTGAGTTTGCTAGGGCTATAGTGACAAGTTCCCTGAAGTGGTGACTTAGCCAGCAGAAGCTCATTGACTCACAGCTCTGGAGGCTGGGTGTCCCTGATGAAGATGTTGAGGGTTGGTTCCTTCTGACATCTCTCTCCCTGCGTGTCACCAGCTGTCCTCGCTGTTTATGCATGCCTCCCTTCCTCTGTGTATCCCAGACTTCTCTTCTAGGGGCACTAGTTACATTGTCATGAGACCCACCCTAGTGGCCTGGTGTCACCTGAATTGCCTCTTTAAATACAGTCATACCTGAGGTACAAGGATGAGGACTTCAGCACATGATTTTTCTTTCTTTTTCCCCCTTATGGGGGTTAAAGTCAGAGCCTCAAACTGGTTAGGTATGTGCTCTGTCTTTCAGATAGAGCGCCACACTTTTGCTCAGGCCAGCCTCCGACTGTGATCCTTCTACCTACAGCCTCCTCGTAGCTGTGACTGTAGGCATACACCACTAGGCCCAACTTTTTGGCTGAAATGGAGTGTTAACTTTTTGCCTGGTCTGTTCTCAAACCACAATCCTCCCAATCTCCACTTCCCTAGTAGCTGGCATTACAGGTGTGAGCCACCACACCCAGCTGTGGCATGATTTTTGAGTGGACACAATTCTGCCTGTAGTACTAAGGTTGTCCTGGAGTCCGAGGGTCAGACAGGCCCCATGTTACAAGAGCTGCCAGCTCAGGAAGATAAATGTCTGACGAGCTCTGCCTCCCCGTCCCTTGTGGCAAAGATGCTGATAATGCCTGCACAGTGACCCCAGTGACCAGGATACACAGATATCATGACACAGGATGGAGAAATGGGCAGAACGGCCTCTTTGTTCTGGCTGACCCTTTGACCCTCCTAGGCCTCTTTCCTCCAGAACAGAGAGAACCACGGGCTGCTGGAGAGGCTCACCAGCCTGGCTGCTCTGCGGGCCAGTGACATGGAGAAGGTTCAGAAGCTGGAGGCAGAACTGGAAAGGGCAGCCGCCCAAAGGCACAGCTATGAGGAGAAGGGCAGGAGATACCAGGATGCCATGGAGGAGGTCAGGCTGCATCGGGTGTGGGGTTCATGTGCTTCTCTCCATGGAGGGGATGAGCCAGTGTGTGAGCATTTCCTGCCTCGAGCTTTGCCCTTGACTTCCAGAACCAGGGGGTCTGCCTTTTAGGGAAGGAAGAGCGGGGACGGGCGTCCACGGGTAAGGGACTGATGCTTGGGGAAGCTCAGCACAGGTTTCCTCTCCTGGTCCACTGCGGCCAAATGATGAAGGCTGGAGAAGGAGCCCTGGCCAGCTGCTCCTGTCTCTTCCAGGACGACCTTGATCCGTGTCTCATCCATCGGGTCTGGAAGCATCTTCCCCTGAGCAGCAATGAAATGCTTGGGAAGGGTTTTCATCTCTGTGGTGTAGGAAAGAGCAATAAATCTGAAAATCTGTATCTTGGATTCAAATCTTGCCATTGCTGCTGTCTGGCTTCACAACCTGTCCTCTCTGAACTTCAGTTTTCCCATGTGTAAAATGGGAATAACAAAAAGGGAGTGACAGAGTTGTTGTCATGGTCAGATCAAGTCATTTAAGCAAATGCCCATTACTGGCCCAGCACAAGTGTGAGCTAGTGTGCTCAAAGGGAGTGGTCTTCATTAAAGGCCACTCTCCTGCACTGTCCAAAGGTAGCCAGGAGCCCAAGAGGGCATCCCTCGGCCCTTCCCATGACCCAGTGCCAGCTGCACCCTATTGCTGCTCAGCACCAAGCCTCCCCTCCCCCACCCTGCCATCAGCCCAGGAGGCCCCTAAGCAAGACAAACCAGAGTGACAACGGCTCTGCTGTGCACCCCCTCCTGAGCCATGCACGGCATCCTGGGACTGTGAATCTGCCTTCTGTTTGAATTAAGTAACAATGTCACAATAAATGCAGACGCTCCCCTGGCTTTCCAGAGCTGAGGAAAGGACAGATTCCTCCCAGCAATCAGCCAGGGCTGGGCCAGGTTGGGTAGTGTCCCCTTTGAAGTCCCCAAGCCCTTGCATGTGAGCCAGCGGTGCTGACTGGGACAAAGCCTTTTCCCCAAGACAGCCAGAAGAGATGAATTTAAAGTGAGATTTCCAAAAACAGATTTTCTTGTTTTCCTGCCTTTTGCTAGAAAATGGCAAAGCTTCAGAAGGACAATTCGGAATTGCAGATTCAGAAAGAACAGATAGAGCTGAAGCTTCAGGAGAAGATGGAGGAGCTGAAAGGTACAGCTTGGGGGCCGTAATAATCCAGATATGTGCCTGTCCTGTCACCAGTGCACAGCTCTGGAGGCACCGAAGTTCACATTGGTCTCTGGTGTACACTTAGTGCAGTGAGGACACTTTTGCTTCATAGGGAAGGCAGTGTATGTAAACTGTTGTGTCTTCAGCCTGTGACTCTTCTGTTCCATCTTTTGTCATACAGCACAGCCTTCCCTCTCTGTGCCTCAGAAGGGACTGGCAGCCTGGCATGTGTGTGTATATCCCATGTGTGCAGGGGCATGTCCCTGTGTGTGTGGGTGTGTATCCCCGTATGCATCAGTGTGTCCCCATGTGCATGGCATGTCCCTTGTATGCATGCATGAGTGTGCCTCCATGTGTGTGCCCATGTGTATATGTGGGTGTGTCTGGGAAAGGGGTGATGGTGGTTCAGACATCTGTATTTTTTAATTACCTTATTTTTTATTAGGATATATTTGTTGTACGGGGAGATTCATTGTGACAATTCCAATAGGCTTATATTGTACATTGGTTAGATCACCCCCACCATCTCTCCCCCTCTACCCATTCCTGCCCCACTTAGAGCAGTTACAAAAGGTTTCTTTGTTTCTATTTCATATGCGTATATGAAGTCCATCTACCATATACCCTCGCCTTAATCTCCTTCATTCCCCCTCTCCCTCCCTCAAGTACGTCCCTCCAGACACACACTGTACCTATTTTACAGTTATTTCATTATTAATATTTAAGTCGATGTTCCAGAGGGTTTCTCAGTGTGTCCTCGCTGTGAGTCAACTTTACTTTGATCCGTTCAACCCCTTGCATTACTCTCCCTTAGCCTTTTACCTCCCACCACCATTTTTCAATAGCTTTCAATACACATCCTTATATCCTGTACCTTCTCAGATGCCATGTATTGCAATATTGTTGACTCTCTATCATTCTCCTTTCCTGTCCCTCCTTCTCCGAGTTCCACAGAGTAATTCTGCTATTACAAACATGTTCTGCTATGACTTTGTATATGACCATGTTTGTTTTTGTATATGTGTTTACCTTTGAATCTATCTTCCACGTATGAGAGAAAACATGCAGCCTTTGTCTTTCTGAGCCTGGCTTACTTCACTTAACATGACAGACATTTGTATTTTTAAAACCCTGGCAATCCTGATGACAGTTGGGGTAATGCTACAGTGACATTTGTTGCTCCTAGAGATATACAGAACATGCCAGGCCTGTGATCCCAGCACTCAGAAAGCTGAGACAGGAGAAAGGACAGTCTGAGGTCAGCCTGGACTATGGAGCGAGACCCTGTCTTGAGAAAAAACAAGGGCTGGGGGTGAAGCTCCCTGGTGAAGTGCTTGCTTAGCATGTGCAAGACCCTGGGCTCATTCTCCAGCACTGGGGGGGAAAAACTGCACTGAAAGTTCAGCTGTCATTGTGACCTGGTCTGAGCAGTATTATGTTCTCTGCCACCATCCTGGTCCTGAATAAGAGCAGACCTTGGAACCACTGGGTGTCACTTTCCTTTAGGCTATGGAGCAGCTTCCCTTGGCCTAGCTCCATCCACCTATAGCCTTCCTGCTCAGATTTGAACTGAGAGCACTTGTGAAATCCCAGACAAGGCAACAGAATGAGCTGCTGGTCCCTGAACAGTAATTTAAGTCCCACACTTGTTCATCTTGTCCAAATGTCTTTTCTTTACTCTCCTCCTAGGGCAGCAGGGAAATGAGGGGTGCAGTCCAGGGGCCTGGCACACACCTCAGGCCCAGAGGGTGGCAGACCTGGAGGAGCCAGGGTGCAGTGCAGAGTATGGGAGAAGCCCATCTCCAAGAGGAGGAAGTAATGTCCTGAGTCCAGGACAGAGAGTGGAAGGGCCATTAGGGTGCTGATAAGGAGGTGGCCTCGACCCTCTGCCTGGGCCTCGGAGCCCATGGCAGTGTCAGTGGTGAATAGAGAAAGTCGGAGGTGTGGGAGGGCTTACCTACTTCCGCCTCTCATTATAGCACACTCCTCTTTGACAGTCACTTTAGGGGCTGAAGACTACGTATTTGGCACCAATGACATGTATGAGCTGATAACTTTATACCCTTCCGAAAAGCCCAGGAGCAATTCAACCCTGCGTCTGTAACCTGCTTCTCTTACAGGGTTCCCCACAGTGGTATACAGTTTGTAAATAGTACCAACCTTCACCTACCTGTGTGACCTGTGACCCAGGAATGCCAGCAAGTGCATGTCCCCTGTTTGCCATCCCACCCTAAAGCTGAACATAATCCTGTTGCTCTTGGGAAGAAAGTCACATTCCAGCCACTTCTTTAGGCCATTTGCAAGTGGCCCAAGATAGTCAGCACCGGAGCTGGAAGCCAATACTTTTGATGAACTGAAAACTGAGGTTGTATCAAATATGCTAGCTTCTAAATTAAAGCTAAGCATTTCCCCAGTGTTTTCTGGCTGACTTGTGACATTCTAAAGCAGTCATTTTCCTGCAGGGACATTTGATACTGATAGACAAACTATTAAAGTGTTGACTTTTTTTTTTAAAACCGAGCAATTTGGAAAATTGCTGTGACCCCTCACTTGACTCCCCTCTGGGCCTCAGATATGATGTAGAACCCAAGGATGACATGTCAGCCAAATGTAGATAGGGATGTCACCTTTGACAGACTGATTTGCAGCTCTCCCACCTTTACTGCTCCTGTTGTGTATGGGCACATTAGGAAGTGGGATTGGTCATAGCTGTGGAATGTCCTGAACACTAGTGATCGTTTCCTGGTTCTCAAGTGCCCCTTTTTGTTTGAGACTTGCCTTTTTTGCACTTCTGGTTCCCCAGATAAAGACAGAAACTTTGTTTTCTTGGTTATCATGGATTAGTGGCTTTGACAGGCTTTTGCTCCCATACTCTTCCTAGTGGGATTAGGTATTGTCTGGGGACGTTTTTGGTTGTCACAACTGGAGCAGAGGTGCTTCTAGCTTCCAGAGGGTAAGAGCCAGGTATGCCAGTGAGCTTCGTATGATGCACAGACATCCCCTCTCCTCAGCAAACTATCATCCAGCTCAACCCCAATGGCACCAAGGTGGAGGAAGCCTGTCAGAAAGTAATGATCTCCACAAAGCATTTCTGTTTACTTCTAGTAATGGGTATTGTCCTGAAGACAGAATGTCTATTTTAGTAAAAACAGGTGGCACTCAGACCAGTAAACATGCTATAAATGAAACTATTTACTCACAGATCCCAACATGACAAATTTGTGAGAGTTATTGTTTTGGAACTCCCTCAACTGCATTTGTGGTTAATGGGAAATGACATGCACCCTCACCTTATGCCCCATTAGTAACAAATACCACATACTTATTCTTACATTCACACTTTCTTAGATGCGGCATGAGACAAAGTATTGGTTTGGCACACCTCTTTCAAAAAGCATTCTCTTTTTGTGCTACTAGGGTTTGAATTCAGGGACTCACACTTGCTAGGCAGGTGCTCTGCCACTTGAGCCACATCTTCAGCCTAACAAACCATTCTCTTTCCACAGAAAAAATGGACAACCTCACCAAACAGCTCTTTGATGATGTGCAAAAAGAAGAACAACAAAGAATGTATGAAATCTGGTTCGCCTTAAAGCTACCCCTCCCTTCCCTCTCTGCTGTTTTCTATTGCTTCTCAGCTTGCAGGTATCACATCAGAGACACAGAGGGTGGGCTGTGAGTATTTTTAGGAAGTGAGAGATTTTGAGAGTCACAAGAGCCTAGTCCCAGGGTGTCACCTTCAGACTGCTGCACAGGCTCTGGATGTCAGTACAGCTCCTGCCAGATGGGCACAGCAGACCACCAGGAATTGCTCACTTTCCTTTTATTGCTAAGACAGTAAGACATTCAGAGATGGCCACTGTGTCCACCTTCCCTCAAATGTAAGAATTACAGTGATGGCCTAGAAGATAAATAAACCCCTTTCCCACTACCTGTCGTACCTGCTAACTTGACTTCTGTCCCAGAAAATAAGGTATGTAACCTACCTCACCAAGTTAAGGCAGTCCCCTGGACCTTGAACTGTACAGCCCCTCTCCCATCTCAATAGCAAACCCTCTGCTAACCTCCAAAGACTCCAGCCTGGCTCCCTCTTCTCTAAGGAGTCAGCATAATAGTTTTTAGATCTCAAAGCGGGGATGCATGGCAGGGCACTGGAACATTCTTATCAAGTCTCTTGGGGACCTGCCTGGGAGTATAGGATAGGGACAGACATCTTCTGCCTGCAGTTAGCAGGACAGCCAGGGTCTGGGTAAGAAGGCACTCCAAAGAGTGGAGGGAGGGTTGTCACTCCAGGGCTCCAAGTTCACATACATAAAGTGTTTCATGACCCCACATCATTGACCTGGACAAATAATTTTCAATGTATACTCAACTCTAGGAGCAGAGCTCAGCTTTTGGTATCTCTGCAATGCTGGGGCTACCTGGCAGTGGTCATTTCATGCAGGGGACCAGAGAGCCAGGTCCCAGCAGGTCACTGTGAGCTATTTGCTGTCCTCTCTGGGTCAGGCTGTGCAGGCCAATGACATGATATGGGTAAAACTCTGCTCCTCCTTAGCATTCACCTGAAGCTCTGTCTGTACCCTGGTAGCCGTCTGGGGAAGTTTGGCCCCTGTCTCAATCGTCAGGAGGCACAAAGCTGCTGGCAGTCTGTGGCCATACTTCCAACCAACTCAGGCTATGAGTTGTAATTCTTTTTACATAAGATTTCCAGTTTCAGTTTTTTTGTATGAAGGCTCTATTACTGGCCTTTTTGGAGCACTATAGTTTTTTGAAAAACATGAAAATAAAGTTTAAAGGTTATTAATATCTGCAAAAGGGAATCAGACAGAAATATTTGGGGCACATTTGGCTCTCTTCCTTGGAGTTTCTCCCTTTGTGCTATAGAAGCAAGTGAGAATGTGCTCTGCGTTGAATCCCACCAAGTAGAACTATGTGATAAACTCGTGCTTGGGTTGCTTGTGCACTGGATTGGGCTTGTCTAGGTCATGTCTGTCTTCACTTAATTTCTTAGTTGATCATCACACATTTAATTGAACACCCCTTCACAAGGAGTTGGATTCCCATGGACTTCAGGGCTCCTGGATTTGCCGTAGTGTTGTCTAAAATACTTGAAAGGCTTAGACTCCTGCACCTACCTAGTGGCTCTACAGGCTGATTCCCTTATCTGAAATGCCTGGAAGCAGGAGCGTTTCAGATTTTGAAGTTTCTCGTATTTGGATCTTCCTATAGACTTTACCAATTGAGCACTCCTAATTCAAAAGTCCAAAATCCTAAATGTTTCAAAATCTGAAACCTTTTGGGTAGTATGTTGGTGATCCAAAAGTTTTGGATTTCAGAGCATTTCAGATCCTGGATTTTCAGATTAGAGATGTTCAGCTCATATTAACTTGTTTAGGACCAAACCAAGCCCCTGCAGGGTCCTTGGAAGTGGGAAGGGGCCAGGACTTGGCAGGACACCCAAGGCCTAGCTGAGGGAAGGGGCCCCTCAGGATATGGCCCAGTGCCCAGGCCTGGCTTTGGCTTTGGGAACACAGTACCTCCACACCAAGTGCAACTTCTGCTCCCCTCCTGTGTTCCCTGTGTGCGATCTTCACACAGTCACATTTCTCAGACCAGAAGGTGGAAGAAGTTGCCTTTAACCTAAAGGAAAAGGAAACAGTCTGCTAAAAATATAGTGAAATTGTCAAAATATTTCCTTATTAGTTTGTCTCCTTGGAAGGGAGGAGGGGTGGAGTCTTCTGTCATTATATCTAAAAAAAATGCACTACTCTAATTCAAAGGCAGGAGAGGCAATTCTAAATTAATCTTTTTCTTCTTTCACTGCCTAGACTTCTTTTTTTTTGTTTGTTTATTCACATGTGCGTATATATTTCTCCACCCTGCCCCCCTCCCCTACCTCTCCCCCTTCCCCCACCCTACCCCCCCCTCCCCTCCTCAGTTTCAGGCAGGTCCAGTTCCACCCTTGTGACTGATTTTGTTGAAGAAAAGACATAAGCATAATAATGAAGACAAAGAGTTTTTGCTAGTTGAGTTAAGGATAGCTATACAGAAAGATTCCTACTGTTGCTTTTGTGTACCCATGTGTTACGACCCATGTTGATTCAACTCTAACTGATCTTTACATTGGTTCCTGATCCCCTGCTCATGATAACCTGTCGTTTTAAGTTTCTGTATTAGTTCCTCTCTTTTTCTTCTTTCACTGCCTAGACTTCTTGAAAAAAGTTTTGAGCTGAAAACACAAGACTATGAGAAGCAGATGCAGTCTTTGAAAGATGAGATTAAGGCTCTCAGTGAAGAGAGATCGCAGCTCCAGCAGCAGCTGGAGGCCGAGCGTCTGGCCTCTGATGGCCTGAGGGGAGACCTGGCCCGACTGAGCAAGCAGGCAAAGGTGGGTCACCCTCTCTTAGAGCGCCACAGGTTAAGCCCTTTGACCTGCAGAGGAACGGCAGTTCCACGCTCCCACTGGACCAGACAGCTAAGAGCATCTGTGTAAAGTACAAAGGCCAAAGGCAAGGAGAGCACAAGGCCCTTGGTTCTCCCAAGTATGAGACCCAGGCTGCCTTTGACTTAGCAGTAACTGTGTTTCATATTTTAAAAAAAGTCAGTTTTCTTTTTTGTTGTTTTTTTTCTGTTTTGTTTTTCGGGGGAGGGAGGTACTGGGTTTTGCACTCAGTGCCTTGCACTTGCTAGGCGAGAGCTGTACCACATGAGCCATGTCCCAGTCCTTTTCTGGAATAGTGGTGCATGGTTGATAAGAGCCTTGGGAAGCACATCTGTCTGGATAACACAGCTGTCCTTTTCTAGCCCCTGGTGTCCTGTTGTTTGAAAATAGGAAACTGGACCTCATGAGCACTTCCACAACTGCGTAACCCTGAGAAGTCACGCATGACTGACATCCATCTGTGGGAGTCAGGCCATCTGGCTGCAGTCAGTCTTAAACAGGGCAGGGAGGGGAGGAAGTGGGGAGGGGCTATGTGAGCCTGCGCTTAGAGCAAGGCACCAGTAGGTGTCATCCACCTCCTCTGTGCTAGTTAAAACTGGTGCAAGACACATTCAGATGTCTGGTTTTCAAAGCTCATCCTTATCAAGGTGTTTTGTCACAGTCAATCTAAGGAGCATCAGTGAGCTCAAACAGGATTTGGAATATCTACTGAAATATTCCAAAGCAGAGCAGAAGTTTAGGAGTAGATGCCTTGCCTTCCCCATAAACTTGGCATGTGACCTGAACTTGCCCTCAGCCTTCAGGTGAATGTAGCGTCATCTCCCTCATCTATACAAGAGCCCTCTACTCACTTTACAGGTTTGTTAGGATTAGGTTGTGTAGGTCAAGCGCACAGTGAATGTCAGCTTGATTCCCCTGTAGAACCAGGAGGTGGAGCCCTTAGTTCTCAGAGTAACTGAGGACGCACCACAGGGGGACGGTCTCCTCTGCCATCCCTGCCAGCCCTCATATTTCCCTCATACTTCCCACAAAAGCATAAACCTGTGATTTTACTAAGCTGAGTTCACAAGGTGAATGAAGGTGGAATACACCCTCCTCCTGACACCACAGCTGCCCCTGAGGGGACCCCAGTCACCAGGCCACAGCCCTCCCCCCCCCAGCTTTTAGGAAGGTGGTAACTTCACCCCATCCTCCCTAAGGCTTACCATCCACTGAAAGATAGCTTTGGGCCCTGTGATTTTGCTTTTCTCAGCTCGCCGCCCACCTATCTCACTGCAACTTGAAATAGTTATTTTCCTATATATAACAGAGAGGCCCAGCCTCCTGCCCAGCCATGCCCCACCATGTAGATGTGGGAATAGACAGCAGTTAGCATGCTTCAAGCAAGCCTTGCGGGCGGTGATGACTTAACATGACTTCAACAATCTGCAGGGCAGATGCTGTGCTCCACACTCTGCTGTAACAGCCTTCCCTCATCTGATGAAAAGCATAACCACTATTTTTTTCTTCACTGGGTTCGGTCAATGCCACAATTCAGACCATCTCTGAGTTTGAAAAGGAGATTGAGCTGCTTCAGACACAGAAGATAGATGTGGAAAAACACATGCAGGCGCAAAAACGGGAAATGAGAGGTACAGCCACGTGAGTCCCTGGCCCATGGCACGCAGACTGAATTTGTCACAAGCATGTGTCCTTGCACACTGATGGGCATGAGCTTGGTTGCTTAGTTGGTAGTCTGCATAGCTAGTTGATTGACTGCCCAGGAGGTTGGTTAGTTGGTCGGTTGGGCAACTGGTTATTTATTTAGCTGTTGACTCTATGAAATCAGGAAGTAGGTTCTAGAAAGGCCATGAGAGGGGGACATGGTGCACAAATAAGGTTTGTTGGCCCTGTCCTTTCCTTTCAGAAAAGATGGCAGAGATCACCAAGCAAGTTCTTGACAGCTATGACATGGAAGAAGTAAGGAGCAGGTAATTGTTTATTGTATTATCAAGAACTCAAAAATGCACAAAACATGAGAGAGATGATTGGTTTCCTTACTCCTTGTTATCAGGCTGTCTGTGGAAGATTTGGAACACTTGAATGAGGACGGGGAACTCTGGTTTGCATATGAAGGACTAAAGAAAGCCACCCGGTGAGAAGCCCCCTCAGGGCCCCATTCCAGTTTTCAGAGATAGGAAGCTGTTGGGAAGTCAGAAGTTGACTTTACAAAGATTTGACACCTGAAGTACATTCTTACAGTAGAATGATGTCTGAGAGATGTACTGTAAGAATGACTTCTCTGAGAATTAAGTAATTCGTTTAGCAATGAGAAAAACCTCCTCATGAGATAAACTATCTAGTAATAAAACCTGTCATCTGTATAGTAAAACCACTGCTGCTGTAGATAGGTAGGTATGATAAACCTAAGCACTTGCTGGGTTTCTTTAATAAACTTATTTTCTGTTGGTTCTGGGGCTTGAGCTCACGGCCTCACTCTTCCTAGAAGGCACTCTGACACTTGAGCCACACTTCAAGCTCTTTTTTGCTTTAGTTATTTTTCAGAGAGTGTCTCCCTTTTTTTTGCCCAGGCCTGGCCGTGGACAGCTATCCCCCTGCCTATGGCCTCCAATGTAGCTGGTATTACAGAAGTGTGCCATCATACCCAACTTGATAAACCTTCTTTTTTCTTTTACAAAAATGTTATTTCCATAACAAAATTGAACACCAAATTCAGAGTTTCTATATATCCCCTGCCGCCAGTCCCCTACTATCAACATCCTGCACCACAGTGACACGCTGACACATCCTATCACCCCAAGTCCACAGCCTGCATTAGGGTTCGCTTTAGTGCTGTCTGTTCTGTGGATCTTGACAAACACAAAATGGCATTTATCTACAATTATTATAATATACAGAGCATATATTTTCATATGCTCTGATATATGAAGAGTATAAAAACGTAACTTAAAAACTTCTAAAATGAAATTTCTTTATCACTCACTGCCTGTTAACCTCACACTGTGCTACATAACTTCTTGGGAGGATCCTATAATTACAGTTCCTAACTCCATAGCCCATCACTATGCCTGTGTAAGTAAGCCTCATGCACTGAGTGCAAGACTCTTGTTGTGACCTCCGTAACTGCCATGCACATCTGCCTCACAGTGTTTTGGAAAGCCACTTCCAGTCTCAGAAGGATTGCTATGAAAAGGAGATTGAAGCTCTGAACTTCAAAGTAGTGCATCTAAGTCAAGAAATCAGCCGCCTGCAGAAATTATTCAGAGAGGAGAATGACATCAACGAAAGTATCCGTCATGAGGTTACCAGACTGACATCAGAAAACATGGTATGGTCTCTTAGCCTTGGGCCCCAGTCATGGCCATCATCCTACAGACATTATTCAGGGTGGAGTAAAGTTCAGTTTCTTGGTAGCAAAACACTGGATTTAAATTACCTCCTCCAGGAGTAAAATAGTGGGTCAGAAGATGAAACCATACAGTGACGCCAGTGGGGGAGCACTTTGATTTGAGAGTGTGTTTGATCACCATTCAGTGGGTCCAAATTCAGTGTGTGTGTGTATGTGCTGAAATCTGTATATTAATTTAAAAACAGACAAAAGCTTGGCTCTTGAGACGGGGGTGTCCAGGTCGGTCCCTCTACTCACGCTCTGAGTCTCTCCGGTTAAAAATTCCTCTTCCACCCACTGCCTGGTCCCAGACTTATTCTCATTCATGCCTGCTGCCATGGAGAGATGCCGTAGAAACACCCATGTCCCTGGTGCCTCCCACCCTTTTCTCTGGGAAACTGATGGAACTCTCAAAGACCATGTAGCCATCTTCCTCCACCCCTCCTGGCCACCCTCCTCTGTCATGTGCCCCTACCACTCGCTGAGTCCACCTGCTCTATCAGGAGCCTCTGGTGACCTTATTCACTGCCCTCCTCCCTGTTTTCCTGGCTTCCTGGACCCCTCTCTCCCTGGCTTTTGGAGGGACCAGCTGCCTCTGCTCTCCTTCTTTACTGTCTCCTTCTTGCCTGACCTGGGAGATTAGAAAGTCTCAGGGTTGCATCAACAGGTGAGCAGACAGGACAGGGACATTTAAGGCAGCAGTTAAGGGCCTTCCTCTGAGCACGCCCAGGTTCTTTGAGACCACTGTATAGGTCTTGAGGTTAAAAAAGAGAGAGAGAGAGAGAGAGAGAAAGAGAAATGTAGCAAAAATCCAGCCCAATGCCTCAGCCCACCCTTTTAAACTACATGTTCCACAGGCTGAACACAAATGGTCTACTTGTTTCTGAGATTGTGCAGTTCATAGAGGAAAGCTTTTGGTGTGCTAACATTTATAATTCTCCTCTAAAGATGATCCCAGACTTTAAACAGCAAATTTCAGAGCTAGAGAAACAGAAGCAAGATCTTGAAAACCGCCTGAGTGAACCAACTGAGAAGATGAAAGGTAACTGAAATCCCCTGATCCTGGCTTTAGATGATGGTTTCCAGTGTCTAGGAAATGACATAGAAAAAGCCAGAAATGATACAGAAAAGTGAGGAAGTGACACAGAAAAGGGTTTTAAGCTCTGATTCTCCCTGGCCAGGTAGGTAAAATGGGGTATAGCAAGGGCTGTGGTGGGAGGTGGGGGTGGGGGGGGAGCATTTGAAAGGGACAGTGTCCTCCAAGTTCCATTCATTTTTGCCAAGTGAGAATAGTAGGACCTAGTGTTGCTGGATATTCCTGTATTTAAAGAAAATTCAAGCCAGGTGCTGGTAGCTCACACTAGTAATCTTTGCTACTTAGAAGGCTGAGATCAGCCTAGGCACATAGTTCATGAGACCCCCATCTCCAAAATGCCCAGAGCAAAATGGGCTAGAGGTATGGCTCAAGTGGTAGGTTGCCTGCTTTGCAAGTGCAAAACCCTGAGTTCAAACCCCAGTCCCACCAGAAAAAAAAAAAAAAAAAGTAAAGGAAAAGAAAATCCAAGGGCTATAAGTGTGGCTGAAGTGGTAGAGCCACCTGCCTAGCAAGTGAAAGCCCCTGGTTCAAACTCCAATACCACACCCCCCAAAAAAAAAATCCAGAAGTCTAGATTTTCATGTCATATATCATTCTTAAATAATTTTTTCCTTTTTTAAATTTAGCAAGGCCCTGAGTTCAAACCCCAGTACTGGCAAAACAATCTTTTTAAACATTGTTCAAGCCAAACAAAACCCAATCTTTGGCTAGATATAGCTTAGAAACTCTGGTAACTAAAAATAATGCCAAACCAAATCAGGGAAGAAGCATTTTGTTTTCCATCAGGGCTGAGGATTAAACCCAGGGCCTTATGCACACCAGGCAAGTGCACTGCCACTGAGCTACATTCCCAATTCCCAACCCTGATCAGAATGCAGTGGTACCACCCACCACAGTACTGACCACCTTCTCACCATAGGAAAAGTGGAAGAACTGTCAACTCAGTTAAGTCGTAGTCAAGAGGAGGAAGGAACACAAAGAAAGTAAGTGTTTCCCATCTTTGGAAACATCAGCACAGGAACAACAGGCAGGCTGTGGCCAACATGCCTCTGTCCCTTTCCCAGGGCCATGGAAGCCCAGAGTGAAGCCCACAGCAGGGCAAAGGAGAGGCTGACAGATAAGATCCAAGAACTGCAGGAGGCCAGCGAGCACTTGAAGAAACAAATTGAGACAGAAGGTGAAGTCAAGAGTACTTTCCAGCTGGAAGCATCTCGGCTCACTCTGGAAAACAGGGTGAGAGGTTTTGCAGGGTATTGATAAATGGCTGTCTATATGAAGATGTTGCTGAAAGGGAAACACATTAACTGCTGTGGACCAAAAGTCCTTCCGCCAATGTGGCCTGTTTGCTCATCTCAAAAGACGGGTGGTCCCTGAGGTCACTGCCACTGCAGTACAGGTGACCCAGGAAGGGTGAAAGGAGAGGCAACCAGGTGCAGGGTTATGGTTCCTGAGCACTATCCCTGGACAGCACCATCTGAGATGAGGACACCCTGGTCTCCAGCACATGGAGGATAACAATGCTGATGTGTAGACACTTTGCTCAGTAAAACTTACTCCTTCTGCCGGATGCAGTGGCTCATACCTGTAATCCCAGATAATCAAGGAGGCAGATATCAGGAGGATTGCAGTAAGAAGCCAGCCTGTGCAAAAAGTTAGTGAGGCCCCATGTCAACCAATGAGCCAGGCATGCTGGCACATTCCTGTGATCCCAGCTACTTGGGCGCCATAGGTAGGAGGATCGAGGTTCAAAGCCAGCCAGGGCAAAAATCATGAGATTGTATCTGAAAAATATCTAAAGCAAAAGGGGATGGGGTATGTGGCTCAAGTGATGAGTGCTTGCTTAGCAAGCTTGAATCCCTGGGTTCAGCCCCCAGTACCACCAAAATAAATGAATAAATAAACAATGTGCCCTCGTGAAGGGCCATGCTTGCTCTGGGGACATGACCTTCCCATACTCTTGAAAGTCAAGTGTTCCTCTGTGAAATGATCATGATAATAGATGGAAGACTTTAAATTTTACAAAATCTTCTCCAAAATGTATATGTCCTCACCACAATGAAATTTGGCAACCCCATGACAATCCCAGCAATTATTTTGAAACTATCAGCATGTGAAACCCACAAGACCGAGAAGCACTGAAGTAACAGGGCACTTTCCTGGAAATTGGGAGCTTCTCAGGCCCCTGCCAGGCCTGGAAGCCTCCAGGACAGTGGCCTGGCTGAGACAAGGACAGCAGTCAACTTAGATGTGCCATGTACCCTTCTCCCTGCTGTCAGGGCCCTTATCCTACTCCACAGGAAAACCAGAACAGGACAGAAGCCTGCCTTATAGTTTCAGGATTTAACTTTGGAGAGTAGTTACATCCATAAAGAGGACTGACAGGAGTTTAACTTTTTTTAAAGGTATTTATTTTTTTGGTGGTGCTGGGCTTTGAACTTAGGGCCTTACGTTTGCTAAGCAAGTACTCTAGCACTTGCTGTCCCATTTTTGTTTTGGGTATTTTCAAGATAGGGTCTCTCAAACTATTTGCCCGGGCTGGCTTCAAACTGCAATCCTCCTGCTGTTTGCCTCCTGAGTAGCTAGGATGACAGGCGAGAGCAGCTGGCTGGCACCAGGCAGGAGTTTAATTTTTGGTAGGAAATAACAAATTCCAGTGGGTGATACTTAGGTGGTAGCCATCTTTTCTGAGCTGGGAGTGGCTTTCTCAGGAACTAGAGTCCTCACATCACAGCACAGTCTGAGAAGTCCCTGTGTGGACTGGCTTTGGAGCCGTGTGTGATCCCTTAGGCTGTAGCCATGAGCAGGTGTCGATCTTTAGGAGTTCAGTGGGGTTTTGTGAGTTTGTTGCTGGTGTTCCCGGAGCACAATGGGGTCCTATTCAGTGCCTTTCCTGTCACACATGTCTGGCCCTCCTCCCAGGTGGGGACAGGGCAGCCCTGTTTCTTGGATAACAGGCATACCCACAAACACTTTCTGAACAGATGAGCCTCTGCATCGTAAGTGACAAATGAGTGGGCAAGAAAAGAATAGCATTTCTATCGGCAGTTGTATGCAGTAGATTTTGCTCACAAGAGAGACTTGATCTGGATTCGTTTCCCAGGGTTGTCACAACAAATTACCACAAACAAGGGGCCTTAAAAGAGTAGAAATTTATTCTCTCACAGTTGTGGAAGCCAGATATCTGAAATCAAAGGGTCAGCTGAGCCCCACTTCTTCCAGAGCCTCTAGGGAAGAATCCTTCCTGGCACTTCCCAGCCTCGCGAATGGCTCCTGGCACTCCCTGGCTTTGGATAGCTTCCCTCTGATCTCTGTCTCTCTTCAAGTGGCCTCCTCTTGGTATCTCTGCTGTTAAAGGGACACTGTCAATGGATTTAGGGCCCACCCTAATCCAGTGTGACTTCATATGGATCCTTAGCATAATTGCAACTGTAAGGACCCTATTTCCAAATAACGTCATATTTTAGGCTGGGGGTGGGAGGAGAGGGGTGGGGCATGAGATTTTTAAACACTGTTCTTTGAGTTAAAGAAAATCCTTCTTAAAAAAAAGAAAAGAAAGAAATGATCATCTCACTATCAAAGAAATTCAAAATTAAAACTAGATATTAGTTAATAGAAAGTGTATAGTGATAGTGTGAGCATGTTGAAATGAGCACTATATATAGTACATGGTGGTTGGGATGAACTTTTTTGGGGAAATAGTTCAAGATTTATGTAGTATATCTATATGGCATATATGGGTGTTGTTCATCCATAAAAAGCTATGAAACACTGATGCATGCTGCAGCATGGATAAACCTTGAAAGTACTCTGCTAGGTGAAAGAACCAGACACAAAATACTGCACACTGTATTGCTTCATTTACATGAACTGTTTAAGTAAATTAATAGGGACAGTAAATTACTGATTACTGGAGGCTGGAAGGGAACGGGGGACTAGAGAGCGACCAATAAAGGTTACAGTTTTCTTTGGGAGGGACAATGAAAACTTCTGGAATTAGTAATGGTGATGGTAGCACAATTCTGGCTGCACTAAACCCCTAGAGTTTTGCATCATTTTAAGTGAGTGAATTGTGTGGTATGTGAATTATAGCTCAATAAAACTGTTACCAAAAAAGCAGGTGAAGGACACATCTAAGCTAATGTCCTTATTCCTTTTGATTTCTGAAGGATCTGGAGGAAGAATTAGACATGAAAGACAGAATGATTAAAAAGTTACAAGATCAAGTCAAGACTCTAACCAAGACAATTGAGAAAGGTAGGAAAATGATACTTAGTTTTAGTCTTTTGAACTGAAGTTAAGGTCAACATGTCTATCTTCCATGTGACCCAAAGCCTACCAAACCCCAAGGAATGAGTCTCAAGTGGTCAGTGTGGAACTTAGCAATGGGCTGAAGGAAAAATCCTTCCCAGCAGGAAGACTGTTCACTCCCCTCAGACAATGCCAGATCTGCTCATGGTGGTACAGGAACCATCCTACAATGACACTTTCAACCTCTTCTGCTGTTAGCTCCCCCTTTTAAAAGGTGAAAACTGTGAGCAAGTTTCAAATTGAACTGCTTTGAAGCTCCCCTTCTCTCCCTGTCACGTAAAATACGATCAGAAAGTGTTCCCGTTCCTATGAGAGAGAAGCAGAGAAGGAAGAAGGCAGGCGTCCTCCTGAGCCCCTGTGGGAAGGAGCCTCAGCCTTTCCCCCTTTCTCTGCTCTTCTCTCACACTTTTCTCTGTTTTGTTTTGTACTTTTCCCCTTCCTCCCAGCCTTCCGTGCTCAGGCTGTGTCTGTAACCATCTATTCTTTGCCTATAATCATTTCTTTGAAGAGCTCCTTTATTCTTAGGGATTCAGCAATTACCTCAAGTCTGAAATATCCAAAACCAAACTGAGGCTCTTCCCCCATCAGTAATAAATGATAAATGGCTGTCTGCCCCAAAGAGCAGGGGCCAGGTCTGTCCTTCCTCCCCCTCATTCTGTCCCCACTGTGGGAGGAAATGAATGATGGAATCACCCTTCCTTCCCCAAAGATTGCCCTGTCCAGGGTCAGATCCTCTTCCTTTAGGACCACCTCCTTGCTCTTCTGTTATTACCTTCAACTGAACATGTCTACACCAAAATTCACCAGCTTCCCTGCCTGTGTCATCATCCCCAAAACAAGGAACAATTAACTACACACAACTTCTAGGTCAGGAAGCCAGGAGCACTTTAGCTGGATGGGTCTGGCTCAGTTTTCAGACTTCTGACCTCCAGAACTATACAGTTAAAATTTTGTGTTGTTTGGGGAGTGTTGCTCAGTGGCACAGTGCATACTGAGCATGCATGAGGCCCTACGTTCAATCCTCAACAAAAAACAGAAAAAAAGTGTGTCGTTTTAAGTCACTAGGTTTGTGGTGATTTGACACAGCGGCCATAGGTAATTAACACAGTCCTCCCACCCCCCAACCCTACCCCCACCCCTGGGTCAGGACTGTACTTTGGTGCTTTGCACACCAGGTCTCCTGGGTCTTACTTCCTTCACCATAGGAAGCACCTTGAAGCACCTTGAAGACGAGTAGCGTCTTGGGTTTCTTCCTTCTGCATTGCACTGGAGACCAATCAGGCACTCACATGGATTCCTTCTAGGGACAGCTCAGCCTCTTCAGCAGCGGCCATACTCACTGATGAACGCACAGATAGAAGTCACTTACTGGGAGGTTTTCAGGATACAGTAAAGTTTTAATAGCTCTGAAAGCCATACCAAACAAGCTAGAATGGGGGAGATGTGGACAGAGTGGTCTCTTTATGAGACCTGGGACCGCAGTTTTGTGTGTTTGGCTGATCATTTGCCTCTGTTTGCAGCCAGTGACGTGCGCTTGTCATCGGGACCCAAGGAATACCTTGGAATGCTGGAATACAGGAGGGAAGATGAGGCCAAGCTCATTCAGAACCTCATTCTTGGTAGTAAAACCTGGAGCTCTTGAGTTTTTGCTGTCTGGGAGAACTTGAACATCAGTCAGTGTCACAGTATAGGCAGGGACTGTCTCTTTCTCTCCCCTCACTGCTCCTTCCCCAGGCCTGGAGTTTCACAGCCTCAGCACTGTTGGGGGAGTGGGGCTGTGCACCGTGGGATACTGAGGCACGTCCTTGACTTCTACCCACTAGAAGCCAGTAGCAACCCCTAGTTGTGATGGTAAAAAATCAAATGACTCCCACCATAGCCAGATGTCCCCGAGTGGGGGAGGGTGTTGTCCTCAGCAGAGAACCACTGCCCTAACCTTACCCCAAGTCTAATCATAGGGCTGGAGAGAGGACAGATCCCCTCATCCTTGAGTCTCAGCAAAGGAGCAGGGATGTCAGTAATTGTGGCTCTGTGCTCAATTTGACTTGCACTGAGAAATTCATTTGCAGGCATCCTGATAGTGGCTCCCAGCCACATCCCAGTACAGGAACAGCCTGAAGTGTAGGCTCAAGGGTTAGTGGTCTTAGAACCAGACTTGCTACACTGTCTTCATCATGACCTTGAACATGGTCTTTCAAGAGAAGAGAAGAAACTGTATCCAGTTACCTGGTCCCAAGATCTTTAAGTAGAAGGCTGAAGTGTAGCCTTGCTTCCTCTTCTTCCCAATGCCCTCTGCGTACACGAGCACCCCTGCCCTCCCTTCCCCTACCCTCCTTTGCCCTCACTGGTACACAAGAGCAGGGGCCTCTCTGTCCTCCTTCTCACTGCAGCTGTGGGGAGGCCCTCCTTTGCTTCTCTTTGCCTGTAAGGTTTCTCTCTTCCCCTCAGTCCCACTGTCTCACTGCCATTCTTTTCCCCCCAAGGCCAGCTAGGTTCCTTTGCAGCGCTGTGTGTCTCCGGTTTTCTAATTGGCCATCGTTTCTTGTGAGGGTTTTGATCATATTCCATCCTTATCCAAGAGATGGGGCTAAGGGTTCGTGGAGCTGGGATTCCTTTCTGATACTGAGGATCCAAAGTCCAGGATCTCCTCACCTGAGAAAATTACAGCTTCTGTCTCCTGTCTGGCCTTGCCTTTTAAAAAAGAAAAAGTGCTTTGCAAATAGGCTAAGAGGGGGGCAGGTGGCACCTGTGTATTTTTGCCAAGAAAGGACCCAAGCTGAATTCCTCAAAGAGAGAAGAAACCCCTGTGTATTCAGGCGCTGCATCAAGTGCAGAAGAGCAAGAACCCCTGTCGCAGTCACAGGCTCCTAGGAGCAGGGCTACCCATCAGCTGTGATCCCCGTTGGCTCTCTCTCTTTCTCTCTCTCTGCCCCAGACTTGAAGCCCCGCGGCGTGGTGGTGAACATGATCCCTGGGCTGCCGGCTCACATCCTGTTCATGTGCGTGCGCTATGCAGACTCTCTGAATGACGCCGACATGCTCAAGTCCCTCATGAACAGTGCCATTAACGGCATCAAGCAGGTGGTGAAGGTAGGGCCGCCTTTGACATCGGCCTCGGCAGGATGTCTGCTTTGGGAGCACCTGTGGAATGACCAGATGCCCCTTCTTTGCCCATCCTTCATCTCAGTCTTTGCTGAGCCACACGATTCCTCAGGCCAGTTCGAGACCCAACTGGGGAAGGAATTCGAGCTGTTAGGGAAAGAGCAGTGTCCAAGGACCTGCAACCTGGTAACCACCACCTACCACCTCTGTCTCCCTTGGTGAGATTTCCAACTATGAATGATACATGTTCCATCAGTGTAGTGAGCATGAATGAGAGGATCAGGAAGGACTGAAAAACTACTCATCCCTTCCTTCTGTTGGCAAGTTTAACTCTCCCTCCTAAAACCATATTGTATGCAGTTATTCCCTGCCCAGAAATGAAGATGAGCTGTGTGTTCATGAAGTAGTAGTAAGGCTAAGATGTGTAGCTGAGAGATGCCTCCTCCCCTCCCCCAAATACGCAAGAATTGAAGAAGACAGAGGGCTTTTCTTTGCCCCTAGCCATTCCATAATGAGCCATCCAGGTTGGAGGGCAGCTGTGTTCCACATGGTCACACAGAACCCAGGTTCCTTCCAGCTTTCTGAATGCCATTCCCTGGGACACGGTCCTTGTAAGAATGGTTGCATAACTAGACAAGCAGCAGTCTGTTCCTGATAGGAAGGAGCCCACCGTGTGACACAGAAAGACCACTTATGTGTAGTGCACATATCAGAAATTATTAACCAAATTCTTTACCAGCAATCTCTTTATGGTGTGAGCAGTGGACAGTGATTAAAAAAAAAAAAAAACAGCAATGACAAAGAGCAGGGTTATGTGAAGGCTGATATAACAGTAAAATGAAGTTGATTGCTAACTTCTTTTTACTAAAAGACATAATCCTAAAACCATTCTTGGGCTGATGGCGTGGCGCAAGCGGTAAGAGTGCCTGCATAGCAAGCAGGGGCCCTGATTTCAAACCCCAGAATGGCCAAAAAGGGGAAAAAAAAAAAAAGAGCACAGCATAATCCTAAAACCATTCTTAGCTTACTAGATAATTTTTCCTGAAAACTTTCAGGTGATGAATGACTGCAACTAAGCAACAAAGACTTTATGACCAGGACTAGATCCCTTGCTCACAGGGACAGTATCTCTGAATAAAGATCTCTCTGCTACTGCTGGTTCAACCTGGCATCTCGGGCTAGCCAGCTTCCAGAGCATGGCAGGGTGGTTGATGTAACTCAAAGCAAGACGTTCTGCTCTTGTGAGTGTGGAAATTCCATTACCCACAGTAAATAGAGTTGGTACCAAACCTGTTTTCTCTTTCTATAAAATCACCATCCAGTTCAGATACATAAGTCCAGGTTCACATGGGGTTCACATGGGAAGGGAGAAATAAAATATAGATCCAATATTTTTGTACTTCTTCATAATAGAAGCACTGTTTTTGTTTGTTTGTTTGTTTATAGATATTGGCTTATTGTTTACTTTTTTTTGAGGTACTGGGATTTGAACTCAGGGCCTCACATTTGCTAGGCAGGTGCTCTACTGCTTGAGCTACTCTGCCAGCAGAAGCACTGTTTGATAATGGGAATATATGCATAACTTAGTTGGAGGAACATCTGCCTCACTTTTAGCAAAATATGTGTTCTAGAAGAGTTAAATCATATTTTAAATACTCTGGTAAGATGGAAGAATAAAAACAGAAGATGTATGAGAGGTCAAAGTATGGTAATTCTCCACTTCCCCCAAAAAATTATTTATATCAAGGATTAGTTCTTTATCTGGAGTTAAATTAAGTGAGATTTGTTTTGTGCTTGATGCTTTGTAGTTACTGTCATGATGGGAGCCACCAGATAAGTGTTTTTGGAAGGGACTTCTATAAATTGATACTTTCCCTATCCATGTGTTCGTAGAGTAGATTTTCTTTCTTCTTTTTTCCATTTTTGTTAGGATATATTTGTCATGCAGGGGGATTCATTGAGACAATTCCAAGTAGCCTTACACAGTACATTGGTTGGATCGCCCTCACCAGCTCCCCCAACCCCATACACACACAACTCCCATAAGTGGATTTTCTTAAGACACAAGACAGTCATTTTGTTCCAGCCATAGACACAGTATTTGTCTCCTCTTGCTGCTCTGAAACTGTCAGATGCATGTATGAGAAGTAAAAACCTGTTCTCACTAGCATCTTTGATCTTACCCTCTCTCTGGCTCCCTCCCTCTGCCTTTGTGCTTAAGGGCCTGCCCCCAACCTGCCCCATCACAGGCACAGCTCTTTAAAACAAAGCTTGCTTGGCTCAGGTTCTTTGTTCAGCCCCTGTTCCTATTCCTCCAGCCCCTGCCCAACAACACGCTTACACCAGGGCCTCCATCACATCTGTTCCTCACTCCATCAGTCTGCCGAAAGCTGCCAGTGCCTCCTCTTGCCAAATCTGATGGCACCACTTTCATTTTCACTCTTCTGAAGTTGACTGGAGCATTTGCACCACCATCTCCTTGAAACATTCCTCCCTCGTCTTCCAAACCCCAGCACTGTCCAAGTTTTCCTTCGATGAACATGCCTCTAACTTCTTGCTGCTTCCTGTCTTCCTGCCCCCGGAGCAGGGGTGCTCTCCTCAGCAATCCTAGACTAGAGCTGGAGATGGAAACCCCCGCCCTCCTCCAGGGGCAGATCCGCCCCAGTTCCCCATATCACTCCACCCTCTGAGTGTCTGTAGCACAGTCTGTGCCAGTCATTTCGGACATGACCACCTATGTAACTACGCCCTGTGTGATCTGAGCAAGGGCAAGACCTGCCTTTCTCACGTGCTCCTGCAGTGCCTGCTTCAGCCTTCAGAGCTGATGACATAACTGCATAGAAACGGTCACAAAATGCAACCTACCACATAAATGTAAGTATTCTCATTATGCCATAAATATCATGAAAGTTCTAGTGAACAAAAGGGAAGTGTAGAAGAATCCACTAGTCTCAAGGCCCTCGAACCCCGGCCAGGAGGCAGGAGTACCTTCCATTTTACCTGGCGTGTCTTGGAGCCAATTCACGTCCCAGAATCTGTGCCACTGGACTCTAAGGTCAGCAGCTTCCTAGGTGTGGTTCGCCACGACACATTTGAGGTTCGTTACCCAAACCTTGGGCCCATCCTGGCTTCCTCTTTTCCTCACACCATGTGTTCAACCCAGTAGCAAAGCACATTAGTTCTGTCTTCACAGCTTACACAGAGTGCCTAACCTCTCCTCACTCTCTGTTGCTACCACCCTCCACCATCCCACACCTGCAGGAGCCTCCTATAGGTCTCAGCTTCAGCCCAGGAGGCAGGATGCCTCAAGTGAGAGTGACCTCATGTCCCTCCTTGCTTGAAGCTCCCAGGGTTTCAGGGCTGCTCAATGAGAAAGTCAAGGTCCCTCCTCGGCCCCTGATCTCAGCATACTAATTGTCCTTGAACATTCAAGCTGACCTCTGGGCCTTGGGTGTTACTCAAATGTCTAGATGGGCCACCCCATCTAGGATTGCCTTATTTTTCTCCTTAGCATTTACCATGGTCTCACCTGCTGTATATTTTAGTAAGTTATCTGATTTTCTTGCCCCCCTAGAAAGGAAACTCAGCAAGGCAGGATTTTTTTGTGTATTCTACCGCTGTATGCATAGTACAGTTACTGAACATAGTAGGTGCTTAATAAATGCTATGGAATGGGGAAAAAAAGAAAGATTAATACTAAGGAGGAGGAGATTGAGAGGGTAGCAGTTCAAGGCCAGCTGCATAAACTTAGTGAGACTTTATCTGAACCAGGTGGCATCCACCCGACCTGTCGTCCCAGCTACACAGAAAGCATAGGTAGGAGGATCGGCCCAGGGCAGAAAGTGTGAGACACCGTCTAAAAAAGCAACCTAAAAAAACATGGCCAGAGGTGTGGCTCAAGTGAACGAGTACTTGCCTAGCAAACACAAGGACCTGAGTTCAAATCCCAGTACTACAAAAGAAGAAAAATTAATATCAGTCAAAAGCCTACCAACTAACCAAGCAGGTAAGCGATATCTGCTCTTGGCTAAGACGCACCAGTAATCCAACATTATCTTTTCTTGTTTTTAAGGACCATTCAGAAGACTTTGAGATGCTGTCCTTTTGGCTTTCCAATACTTGCCACTTCCTCAACTGCCTGAAGCAGTACAGTGGAGAAGAGGTAGGGATCCTGGCTGCCAGACTGTGACCTCCTCGGGACTCAGAGCTCACAGTGGGACAGGGACAATCTCTGTGCTGAGTTTCTGGCTTCCTCTTCACCCTGGAGGTCCTGTGTGCATCACAGGCAAGAGACTTCTAGAAGCTGAGACCTTAGACTTAGTACTAAGCCTTGGTTTCCTCAACTTTGAAATCAATAGGAAGATTAGATGACTTGATTTTCCTTCGGGTTGGGACATTCTCAAGTTTTTAGTACTGTGACTCTAAAATATAGCCTCTAGTTCAACATGCTTATTTTTTGCTGGCTATTCTCTCTAGAAGATTCTGATCTTCCCTAATCTGTAAATAGATTTTCTTTGCATTCCAACTCTCAGGTGCTGGCGTCATGAAGGAGTTTTTCCTGCTGAAGAACTCACAAAGTTTTTCTTTGAACTAAAATAACAAAGTGGTCTTTCAGGGTTTTCTCAGCTCTCTAAAATGATTGTACTGTTTTACAGTCCTGTCAGCCGTGTATGACGCTTCTAATGCCTCATGCTTTGGCCAACACTTGGTGTCGACATTTTGTTATTTACCAATATTATGTGTTTAAAATGATACCTTGTGGCTTAAGTTGCATTTACTTGATTTCTGGTGAAGTCATGCATCATTTCAGGGGCTTCTTGGTCCTTTGCACTTCCTTTTAAATTCCTAATCACATCCTTTCTACATGTTTCTTTGAATTGGTTTTTGCCTCTTTTTTATTTCTTTTCTTTTCTTTTCTTTTTTTTTTTTTTTTTTTCAGTACTAGGTTTGAACTCAAGGCCTTGTGCTTGCTAGGCAGGAGTTCTACCACTTGAGCCACACCCCCAGTCCTTTTTTAATTTAGTTATTTTTGGGATAGGGTCTTGAGTTTTTGCCTGGGATCCTAGCCATGCCTCCCAAGTAGCTGGGATTACAGGCATATGCCACCATGCCTGGTTTGTTTGTTGAGATGGGTTTTACTAACTTTCCCCCGACTCCTGGGCTGGTGTCAACATGTGTTCCTCCAGATCTCTGCTTCCCAAGTAGCTGGGATTACAGCCACTGTGTCGGTCCTGTGACGTAGGGAGGTCTTTGCATATCATGGGTAAACTGCGATCTGTCTTCTGATTTTCTTTATGGAGTCCTTTGTCATATGGTGTTTGAGTTTTGATGTACTTAAATCCATCAGTCCTGTTCTTTTATGATTTGTGTCTTATTTAAGATATTTTTCTCTATCCTGAGGTCATGAATATGTTCCCTTATAACATCTTATAGTTCCGATTTGGAGTTCACGATAATTTTTTTGTCTATCCAAAATTGGTGTGATTATTTATTGATCCTAAACAATATGTGAGGTTATGACCTCATATCTTCTGTGTGGATAGTTGTCCCAGTGGAGAGAAAAGACAATGAATTATAAATGTAATCCTGTCAGTTCTATAAAACTAAAGGAGAAATAAGCAAAGAAAATCCAACCTCTGACTAAAAAGAGTACAGTAGGGCAAGGATGGGACAGGAAGTCACAGACAGATCCATCCAGTCAACAGACTGGCATCTGAGACAGTAATGGAAGACGATATTACTCCATGGCATTCATTTTATGATACTTTCTTTGTGCCCTGCAGCCACACATAGAATGTTCTTTTCCTAACTACATAATTTTTCAATTACTTATTTTTATTTCTAAAATTTCTGTTGTTCCTTTTTACTTGATTCTTAATTTTTTTTCTTTTATGTCTTGTTTTACTTTGTTGTTGTTGTTGTTTTTGAGACAGGGTCTCATTATGCAGCCCAGGCTGGCCTTGAACTCATGATCATCCTACCTCAGCCTCCTAAGTGCTGGGATTATAGGAATGTGTCACCACACCCAGCCTTCTTTTATCCTTTGAACACATTAAATACGTGGGGCTGCTATACCAAAATACCCCAGACTCGGTAACTTAAACAACAGAAATTTATTTCCTCACAGTTCTGGAGACTAGATCTGGGTGCGAGCATGGTTGGCTCTTGGTGATGAATCTCTTCCTCACTTTCAGATTGCCACTTCTTCTCCCTGGGCCTTTGCTTGGTGCACATGGGCTTGAGGAGGAGACAGACAGAAGGAGAGAGGGTAGAGCTCTGTGATATGTCTTTTTAAGAGGACACTAATCTATCAGGTCAGGGCCCCATCTTTCTGATGTAATTTAACCTTAATTATTTCCTTAGAGGATCCTTCTCCAAGTACAGTCTTACTATATTAGGAGACTAGCATGTCCACATAAGAATGAGGGGAGATGGACAAACATTCAGCCCACAAAGCACATTTTAAAGATTTCAGATTGGTCTGTGTCTTGTAATTATACAGTTATTGCATCTACTGACCTCTTGCAGCAGTTGGTTTCCTTGGGTGCATTCGGTTTTTTCTGTGAGCTTCCCTGGGAGTTGTCTTCCATGTAGTCCTGGGCTCTGGGGACACATAGTCATAGGGAAGTGGACACAGTATAAATGACTGAGCTCATGCAAGAAACCAGTGTTATTTTTTCTTACAGAAAATAAATAGTATCCCAAACTTTAAGAACAAATCAGACATTAAGTTTTAAGGTGCAAGAGTTATATTAGATGCCCATGATGACAACATTAGTATAAGTAGTGTTTTAATTTCCTGCCTGCCTGTGGTAATTAATTTGCTCAAAATGGCTTTCAGGAATTCATGAAGCATAACAGTCTGCAGCAGAATAAGAACTGCTTGAACAACTTCGACCTTTCTGAATACAGACAGATTCTTAGTGATGTGGCTATACGAATTTATCATCAATTCATTATCATAATGGAAAATAACATCCAACCAATGATAGGTAAGAAGAGTGATGACCAAAAAGTATGCATGGTAACACTGACTTTTTAAGGCATAAAAACTTGATGTATAGAATGTATGATTATGAGTAATATAGTTAAAAAAAAAAAACAAGAAAACATGATTGCATACATGTCTGCCTTTCCATTCTTTGCTTCCTTAAAATGATTCTATAAAGAGTAGTACCAAGTTGATAGTTTTCTTTCTGTAAGGATGATTCATCCCAAAGGAAAAGAGCTGGGAGAACTTCCCCAGTTTACATGGGACTTTTACCTCCTATGTGGCTATTTCCAGGGCTAAGCCAAGTATGTCTGAAATCCTAAAGTCCCATTCAAATTCTTGTTCACTCTCTGCCCTCACCTCCCCCCACTCCTCCCCCCCCCACCCCCCCCCCGCTCCTTCCCCCATTTCCTGAAACTTCAATACCTTAGGCTTTAAGTGGTCACTGCTAAGCAGCTCTTTCCTATAAGAGGAGCTGTGAACCGTGGGCTGTATCCTCTGACCCTCCACAAACTGAGGTGTCCCCAAATCCCTGGTTCTTTTCCTTTCTCTGTCCCTGCTGCCCCCACTGGTCTTGTGTGATGCGTCCCCTTTCCTGGAACAGAGGCCTCCCTCCCTCCCTCTCTCCCTGCAGTGCCTGGCCTGCTGGAGTATGAGAGTCTGCAGGGCATTTCCGGCCTAAAGCCCACAGGCTTCCGGAAGCGCTCGTCCAGCATAGACGACACAGATGCCTACACCATGACATCAGTCCTGCAACAGCTGAGCTACTTCTACAGTACCATGTGCCAGAACGGCCTGGACCCTGAGTTGGTGAGGCAGGCCGTGAAGCAGCTGTTCTTCTTGATTGGGGCAGTCACCCTCAACAGCCTCTTCCTGCGCAAGGACATGTGCTCTTGCAGGAAGGGGATGCAGATCAGGTAAAACCTGCAGATACTGCTGCCTAGAAGTCCAGCTTCACCTGCCTGACCCTCCTGCTGCATGGCCCCCAGATGGCTGTGCTGTGGGGTGTGCAGGTCACTCAGGGAGCCTCAGAGGTGCCTGCCCCTACCCACCTCTCACACCACACCATACCCACTTGGCACTCTGGTCTAGTGGCTCCAACTGACAACTAGTAATTGTGTATTTTAAATTCTGGCCTTCCACGGTCACCATACATTCAACCAGTACTGACCACCTTCCCTGAATAGCACTGCTAGGTGGAGAACACAGGATAAAGTGCAAAAGCTGGTGGCATCCCGCTCTTGAGAGGCACAAAACAGGTCAATAACAATTGAAGCAACTCTGATTATGTCATAACCAAGTGGTGTAGGAAGTGCTTCAGAAATAAGAGATAGTGTGGGCAGAAGAACTGAGGAAGTCAGACTTGTGTGTTTGCATGGTAAAGCTAAGGGAGACTCCCTTTTCAGGCAAGGGAACTGGGCTGAGGCCAAGTGGTGGAGCTGAGAGGAGACCCTGCTCCACTTTTGCCTACTTGAAGCAGAGTCTATATGGGGAGCAGTGGGATCAAGGGAGAGAGATAGGTTGGATCAGACTGGGAGGCTCCAGAATGCCAGGTGAAGGTATTTGGGGTTCATCCTCAAAATACAGTTTTGAGGTTTGGGATGTAGAACGCTTGCCTAGCACACCCAATGCCAAGTTTGATCCTAGCACCAAAAAGAAAAGACAAAAAAAAGCCAAATATACAGTTTTGAGGTGTGTCAACCCTGGGTTTCATTGGGTGTAGTGGAACAGACCTGATCCTGGAAAAACTGGGAGATTTTCAAACTGATTCTTTATTTGCTTCTGTCATGAACTATAAAGGTAATGCCTCATGTGGAACTTTATCTCATAATCACCACATGAGCACTTTTTACAGCAAATTTCATTGTGGCTACTTTGCCAGTGATCTTTGATTTAAAAGCATAAAACAAAAAAACAGTTGGGCTGCTGGGCTGGGCACCTGTGGGTCACTCTGTAATCCTAGCTATTTGGGAGACTGAGATGGGGAACATCATGGTTGCAAGTCACCCAAGCAAACAGTTCACGAGACCATGAGAGCCATCTCCAAAATAAAAACAGAGCAAAAAGACTGGAGGTGTGGCTCAAGTGGTAGAGTGCCTGCTTTGCAGGCATGAAGCCTGAGTTCAAATCCCAGTCCCACCAAGAAAAAAAAAAAAGGAAGGGAAGTTCTTTGAGAAATAGAAAATGTGGCCCAAGTAAATACATTGCTCTCTGGCCTGAGGGAATGTGAAAAAAATATAAAAACCATCAATTTAAGACTTGACGGGCAGGTAGGATTTCAACAGACCCAGAATTAGTTGACTGAGCACGGCAGAAGGGAAGGAAGACTAAAGGCAGGATAGCAATAGCCCCCTAGAGTGTCCCCACCAGGGGTGGGAGTAGAACCTCTAAAGACTGGCCAGAGAAAGAAGATGGAGGCCAGGCAAGTAGTGCCTGACTCAGTCCCTCAGCAGCCACCACAAGGCTTTAAAGTGTGAGGTCAGTTTCTTTAATAGTTGCAGGACTGTTCAGGTTACAGGTTTCGTTTCAGGTGAGCTTGGGTTGTTTGTGATTTTGAGGCATTGGTCCATTTCAGGTGAGTGTTTGAGCTGACGTCTGTAGAGGTGTCTGTAATATATCCTGATTCCCCTTCTAATGTCTGCAGGATTTGTAGTGATAAGCCCCTCTCCACACTTGGCACTGGTAGTCTGTGTCTTTTTCCCTTGGTCAGTCTTGCTAGAGGTGTATCAGAATTGTTGATCTTTTCAAAGAACTAGAGTTTTGCTTATTTCATTGACTTTTCTCCATGCTCTGTTTTAAATTTATTTGATTTCTGAGATGCCATGGTTATGCTTTGTATATATTTTATGCTTCCTTTTCTAGCATCTTAAAGTAGAAGTTTTGATGACTTTGAGACCTTTCTTCTTTTTCTACCAAAAACATTCAGTGCTATAAATTGCCTCTAAGCACTACAATAGCTCCATCTCACAAATTTTGATATGTTATATTTTCATTTTTGTTCAGTTGGAAATCTTTTCTAATTTCCTCTGAGCCTTTTTCTTTCACCCATGGTTACTTAGAGGTGTGTTAATTTCTAAGTGTTTGGAAACTTTCTTGTTATCTTCCTGTTATTGATTTTATAGTTTCATTCCATGTGGTCACAAAACACACTTTCTCAGTCAAACTCAGAAAGAAGAGGGTCGAGAGTGGTGGTGCACATCTGTAATCCCAGCTACTCAGGAAATAGAAGTAGAAGTATCCCAGTCCAAAGCCAGCCGGGGCAAAAGCAAAGACCCTATTTAAAAATAAACTAAAGCAAAAAAAGCTGGGTACACGGCTCAACTGGTAGAGGTCTTGCCTAGCAAGTGCAACACTCTGAGTTCAAACTCCAGTATGGAAGATCAAAAAGAAAGAAAAAAATAGGAAGTAGAATAATGACTCCCAGACACTAAGGGATTATGATACTAGAGTGACCAAACGTCCCACCTTACTGAGGACTTTCCCAGTTGTATTTCTAAATATTTTTTACAGTTAACAAGCACAATTTGCATGATTTCAATTCTTTTAAACTTGTTAAGGTTTGCTTTTATGACCCAGAATATGGCCCATTTTTATGAATATTCCATTTTCAGTTAGAAAGAAGGTGTTTTGTGTTATTGGGTTGAATGTCATAAAAATGTCAAATAGTTCCTTGATAAATATGTTTAGTTTTGTCTCCTTGCTGATTTTCTACTAGTTCTGTTAATTACTGAGAGAAATGTTAAAGTCTCCAGCTATACTTATAGGTTTGTTTATATGTTTCTTTCAATCTGTCAGTTTCTGCTTGCTGTATTTTGAATATGTGTTGTTATGTGCATGCATGTTAAGAATTGTTACATCATCTTAGTGAATTTGAACCTCCCATCATTACATTGTGTTCCTCTCTGTCTCTCCCTGGTAACTATCTCCTCCCTAAAGTCTTCTTTGTCTGAAATTATTATAGGCACTCCAGATTTCTTTTATCTTCATTCTTTTGTTTTCTTTTCTCTTCTTTCCTTTCTTTTCTTTCTATCTCTTTTTTTTCTTTCATCGAGGTCTTGCTATGTAGTACAGACTGGCTTTGAACCCATGATCTTCCTACCACAGCCTTCCCAGTGCTGGGATTACAGATGTACACCTCTCACTCCAGTCTCAATTAGTATTTTCATAGTACATTTTTTCATCTGTTTACTTTTAACTACATATATATATATATATATATATATATATATATATATATATATTTCAAGTGAGTTTCTTGTAGGCATTATACATTGGGGCCTTACTTCTTCTTAAATTAAGTCTGACAATCTAGACCACTTTAATTTAATCTAATTGTTTGTATATTGAGGTTTAAGTCTACCATTTTATTATTTTCTCTTTGTTCCTCCTGGTTTTTTTCCTCTTATTTCCTTTTTCTGACTTTTGTGTTATTTGAATGTATGTTAGTATCCCTTTCTAATCTATCCGTTGTATTTTTACTGTATCTCTGTATCATTTTTTAGTGGCTGCTCTAGGGATTTAGAGTATACACACCTAATTTTTCACAGTCTGTTTAGAATCGCTCTTACCTTGTCAGGAGGAGTGTAAACCTCTTGCCACCCCTTGGCCCTCCCCACCTCATGGTATGAGTGTCTTACAGATGATAAGGATGGTGACTAAGAGCTGGTTGTCTGACTCCCTCTCCTCGTGTTACAAATGACCTTGTCCCCAGGCTCTCAGTGAGCTCTGCTACCCTCGGGGACACTGAGGGTTTGGCACCCTTCGTTTCCTGAGCTGTTCACTGTCCCTCTGGGTATCACTCCAGGTGCAACATCAGCTACTTAGAAGAATGGCTTAAAGATAAGAACTTGATAAACAGCTTAGCCAAGGAGACACTGGAACCCCTCTCGCAGGCAGCCTGGCTGCTCCAGGTCAAGAAGACCACTGACAGCGATGCAGAGGAGATCTACGAGCGCTGTTCCTCCCTGTCAGCTGTGCAGGTGACCGGCTTGCCCAGTGGCTCCCTGGATCTCTGGGGGCAGATCCTTATAACTGACATGGCTTTTCCTGCCTTAGCCAGCCGTGGGTGCCCCTGCCTCTATTAATGTGCAAACCACTTTAATCTCCCACAACCCACCCTTTTACATAATAAGTGTTTTTTAGATACTGACTCTAGGCCGTGAGACACAAACATGTACATGGTATTTTCTTGCCCACTAAACTCACAGGTGTATATGTGAGTGAGTGGGAGGCAGGGAGGCCGAAGGTTGGGGGGGGGTCACTCATTGCAATCTAATTATGTGATTTATCCTTCCTGCCCTCTATGTTCTTATTCCCTGACTTTCTCTTAGGAATGGATAACCCATAGTGCCTAAAATTTATACTGTAAATTTATACTGAAATTACAGTTTAAAAGAACCACCTGTGGTTCCTAACATCCCCAAACATCCACAACTATTATTTCATGATCAGTGTTGTTCTTTTTTATGTTACATAATGTTCACAGATCATAAAGATCCTTAACTCATACACACCGATAGATGACTTCGAGAAAAGAGTGACTCCATCCTTTGTTCGCAAAGTACAGGTGAGATCCTTAAGGACGTGCTTTTTCATTTTACTTGAGACAAAATTAATATGATAAAATCAGAGATTAAAGCACATTTATCACACATACAAATAAAAGACACCCAGCTCAAAAGCAGCAAGCATTTCTCCAGTTTTCAGAATCCATTTTAGTCCTGCTGGGAAGGGGATGGAAACACCCAAACCAGTACTCAGGGCCGTGAGCCTCCAGCCCATCTTGTTTCTGCTCAGTCTTGGAATGTGGTGCACACTGGCAGAGCTGAACAGAAACAATCCCTGAAGTGTTTCCTTCAACGAACTAGGGCAGCAGTTCCCCCATTGGGTTCAAGGACCCCTGGGGGCTCTTGAGACCCTTCCAGGGGGTCTTCGGGTCCCCTCCTTTTTGCAAAGGCTTATCTGTGAGAGGCAGGATTTTCTTCATGTGCTCCAACCAAAATAGCATAGCACAACAGATTAATGCAGAAGCAGATATAGCTTATATATAAGTCTTATGTTAAGTCAGACATTAAAGAGATTTATAGGAATATAAAACAGTATTATGTCTTACTAAATCTTTTTGCTTTGGAAAATTATTTTTCAATGAAACTATTATGTTTGACATGCATGAGTTTATTATTTTCCTGAGTTAATGAATATTTTAAGTGATTTTTTTAATTACTAATATGGTATAAACATCAATAGTTACACCCACATATGCAAATGCTCTTTGAGTCCTCATCTTTTTTAAAGGAGTCCTGAGACCAAAGGGTTTGCAAACCACTGAGTGAACAGGAAGATGGGTTCTATAAAATGTAAGACTTGAGAACTACTCATGTTTGGCCTTAGAATTATGTCATGAGAATACAAAGGAATAAAAACAAGATTTACACTCCATCCATCCTGTGACAAATTAACTTCTGGAGTGAAAGAGAGCAAGTAAGTGTTCATGAGAGCTGACTAAGAAGGCCTCGTTATAGACTCATCCCTGGCAACTGTGCTTCTCAGCAGCCCCGTGTCACATCAACCTGATTTTCAAAGGTCTCCGAGTCGACCTCCAAGTCACAGTAGAGCAGAATGCACTGGTTTTCTCACTTTCTTCTCCCCTGGTTCTAATTTCAGGCTCTCCTGAATAACCGGGGTGACTCATCGCAGCTGATGCTGGATACCAAATATCTCTTCCAAGTCACGTTTCCTTTTACCGCCTCCCCACACGCTCTGGAAATGATCCAGATCCCCAGCAGTTTCAAGCTAGGTTTTCTTAACAGATTATAGCAGGGAACAGGTCCAGCCCACTCCCAGGCCTGAGTGAAGGTCAAAGGTGAAGGACATAGCTTACTTTCTAGGACTGGAAATGCTTTGGAATGTAATTTAAGGAAGAAAATCGAGTTCTCGCCAAGGGCCACACCTTGTGTCAGTCACTGTGGTTCTGCTGAGAGTCTGTAAAAATCAGCACACACCAACTGTGGGCAGAAAGGCCCTATCTCACTTCAGAATCTCAGCTGGCTTTAATGTAACTCCTGGAAGGCCCACATTTTCTTCCAGATGTCTTTGGTCTATTCTGTCTTGTGATGGAGCTTCCTCTCCAGGAGTGAGGTCTGGGATACACTGACTCCCAGGGCTTTAAGGTTCCTGTGATGCTCAGGGACATTTATGAAGCCACAGGGGTTCAATGGCTCTGTCTTCCAGGAAATAATCCCATTTGGCCACCAGACCCCCCAAAGTCCTCTTGCCCCATGCTGCTTGTGGGAGGATTCAGTGATTATTAAAATCACCCTTGCATTAAAATAGAAATATATAGATATATTTTGTGCTAGTCACCTCTAATTTTTATGAGTATACACAATCTGAAATTAACCATTAGAAGTACTTTATGTATATATTTATTTAAAATGAATATATTATCATAGCTTAATTGCCGTGTCATTTATCATCTTCTCTTAAAGAACATTTCTTTAAATAGTATCAGCCAGATAATTTCCATAATTTAGTATTTAGGGCTGGGAATGTATCGACTGAGTGGTGGAGTGCTTGCCCAGGTTGTATCCCCAGCACCACAAATAATAATAACGATGATAAAAAATTAAAAGGCAAACAAGGTTTTTCTCTATTTAATTAGCATTCTAATATATTTTTTAATTTTGTAAATTTTCTCATAAAAGTGACTTAAGACTTGTATCCATCCATTCCTCCCTCTGAGAAATCTGTGTTTCCCACATTTTATAAGAACTGTCTATTCCTTATCCCTCAAACCTTCTCATTCCTTCCTGTGAGATCACAAAATGAGCAGTCCTTGCCTGTGACCTATGACCCCATCACTTTCTGCACCAACCAGAAATCTCAACCACTCTGTTTCTGACAGTCATGGGCAATAGCTGAGCATCTACAGACACGAAGCTCAGGAGTGGGAATGATAACATGATTGTAATGTAGCCTCACCCAACTAATCAATAAATTTAAAATGATTTACTTTAGTTCATTTCAGTGCATTGCATATGAAACAATGAAAAGTAGAACTTTACAGTAATAAAATAACCAGATGAATTGGGTCAGATTCTTTCAATTGTAAAGATTATGTCTCTTTGGTGCACAAGTTTTCTGTCCTTCTTTAAAGGTCATACTGAAAGATATTAGAATACTGGTAGATTCAGAATGTCTCATTTGAAGTATATAAAAATGTTTAGAGGCCAGATATGGTGGTACACAAGTTTAATTCCAGCTAATCAGGAGGTGGAGATAAGAAGATCATGATCCTAGATCAGTCCCAGGCAAAAGTACAAGACCCTATGTGAAAAATAAACTAAAGCAGAAAGGGCTGGGGGTGTGTGGCTGAAGTGGTAGAGCAAAGGCCCTGAGATCAACCCCAGTACACAATAAATAAATAAATATGTTCAGAGAGGGAGTAAACATATCGTAAGTGCTGCTCAGGCTGTGTTTCCATGGGGCTCCCAGATTTCATAAGAATGAGGGGCTACTACTATTCACAATAGCCAAGATATGGAAACAGCCAAGATGTTGTATTTTTAAAGTATATTCACTTCTTGCTCACAGCATTGCTATGCCAATACAGTATACACAAAATTCATGTATTTATTTATAATGAAAGACTTAAGTAATTTCCTGACTTTAAATTTTTTCCATTCAGTAGGAGAAAATATTTGCCAGCTACACAATCAGACAAAGGACTGATAACCAGAATATATAGGGAACTTAAAAAACTAAATTCTCCCAAAACTAATGAACCAATAAAGAAATGGGCAAGTTAACTAAACAGAACCTTCTCAAAAGAAGAAATTCAAATGGCCAAAAAACACATGAAAAAATGCTCACCATCTCTAGTAATAAAGGAAATGCAAATTAAAACCACACTAAGATTCCACCTCACCCCTGTTAGAATAGCCATCATCAGCAACACCACCAACAACAGGTGTTGGCGAGGATGCAGGGAAAAAGGAACCCTCTTACACAGCTGGTGGGAATGTAAACTAGTACAACCACTCTGGAAAAAAATTTGGAGGCTACTTAAAAAGCTAAACATTGATCTACCATTCGATCCAGCAATACCACTCTTGGGGATATACCCAAAAGAATGTGACACAGGTTACTCCAGAGGCACCTGCACACCCATGTTTATTGAAGCACTATTCACAATAGTCAAGTTATGGCAACAGCCAAGATGCCCCACTACTGACGAATGGATTAAGAAAATGTGGTATTTATACACAATGGAATTTTATTCAGCCATGAAGAAGAACGAAATGTTATCATTTGCTGGTAAATGGATGGAATTGGAGAACATGATTCTGAGTGAGGTTAGCCTGGCCCAAAAGACCAAAAATCATATGTTCTCCCTCATATGTGGACATTAGATCAAGGGCAAACACAACAAGGGGATTGGACTTTGATCACATGATAAAAGCGAGAGCACACAAGGGAGGGGTGAGGATAGGTAAGACACCTAAAAAACTAGCTAGCATTTGTTGCCCTCAACGCAGAGAAACTAAAGCGGATACTTTAAATCGACAGAGGCCAAGAGGAGAAGGGGACCAGGAACTAGAGAAAAGGTTAGTTCAAGAAGAATTAACTTAGAAGGTAACACACATGCACAGGAAATCAATGCAAGTCAACTCCCTGTATAGCTATCCTTACTCAACCAGCAAAAGCCCTTGGTCCTTCCTATTATTTCTCATACTCTCTCTTCAACAAAATTAGACATAAGGGCAGAATAGTTTCTGCCTGGTAGCAAGGGGTAAGTGGGGGTAAGGGAGGGAGCGGCGGGTGGGGGGGAGGTAAAGGAGGGGGAAGGGGGGAGAAATGACCCAATCATTGTATGCACATATGAATAAAATAAAAAATTTTTAAAAGTGCTAAATATATACAATAAAGTAGCCTTTGTACCTAATGCCACAAAAAAAAAAAAAAATGAGGGGCCTCTGAGCCATGTGTGGGCTGGGTCTCTGATCCTCAGTCGTGGCCTTAGTGCCCTTTCCTGACCTTCCTCATACCATGAAGAGCCACCACTCCTACTTTCTGACTCCGATACCCTGGGATCCACACCTATTTTAGAACACTTACCTGGGCTGCCAGTCGGTGACATTGACGTGCTTCTCCTGGCCTGTGAGCTCCCATAGGGCCCTACCCCACCTTACTCACCCATGCATTTTATCTCTGTGCTGTGAGGTAGGAGAGAAGTGGGGAAGCGGGGTCCTGGGGAGGTGGAGGGATTGGTGTGTGGGAAGAAGAGTCAGCCATGGAAGTGAATAGACCTTGGGGACAAGGGACCTGTGGAAGCTGATGGAGAAGGCCATAGTCTGGTTCGGTTCATGAAGCGGAAGCTGGGAAGGATGGTCAACATTGAGAGACACCATCCACGTGCAGTCACAGGTGGGTATTAGGCTTGCTCATTGGGGTGGACGTGTGTTCATGGGGCCATGCCCTGCAGACTGTGCCTCCTACAGAGGGCAGAAAATAGGGCCCAAAAAGTGCTCCGAAGAGATTCAGAGGGGTCCCAGCCACGAGGACTGAGAAGGTTCAGGAGATGAGCAGGTGTGTGGTGTGCCCCGTTGTGAGCAGGGTGTGCAGGTGGGGTCATGCCCCTAAGCCATAATGCCCAGCTAAGAAGATAAGACACAGACTTGCAGGAGCACCTGCACACCCACCTGCACACCACCACAGCTATTGCCGGGTCTGCCCACCTCCTCCCACTGCCGACTCAGTGCAAGGTAGGTTCTATGCACTTTCCGAGATGCCTGCGCAAGTGTCCAGATGCACACAGACCCCAGGGAGGTGAGGGCTTTCTGTGTGGTGGGAGCCCGGCAGGAGGGATTTCTGTTATGGGTGTGTATCTCCTATTTTTTCCGAAAGTTGCATGAATTTATTCTGAAATAGTGAAAAGATAGGGGGATTTGCTTTTATTTTTCTGAGACAGAGTCTCGCTATGTAGCCCAAGCTGGCCCCCAACTCACCATCCTCCTACCTCAGCCTCCTGAGTGCTGGGATTACAGGCGTGCCTCTGAAAAGGGTTTTTTAAGTAGACTAGCATGAGCACCAGGAACAAATGAATCAGGTTTAAAGTCAAGTCACTGGTTTTAAAAATTATCCAGCTGATTTTTATATGACAACCCATACCTCAGAGCGCCGCTGATGGAACAGGAAGGGTTGACAGAGGTCTTATGGCCACAGCCCCTGAGGTCCACCAACCCCGCTGCAGGTACCAGAAGCTTGTTTTTATGTTGTCTGAACACGTCACTGTTTATCTGCTCTACTGTTGGTGAACATTTGGATTTTCCCAGCTTGGGGCTACTATGGACAAAGCTCTTATTCCTGCTTTGGGGAGGAAATGAATATTCATTTCTATTGACACATAGCCATGAGCAGAATTGCCAGGTCATAGAAGAGAGAGATGCTTAGCTGAAGAAGATCCTACCAGCAGTTTCCTGCCAGCAAGGAAAGAGTTCTAGCTCCCCACACACTTGCCCACACTGTAAGGTGGGGTTTTGTTTTTGTTTTGTTTTGTTTTGTTTTTTTCAGTTTTAGGTATTCCGATGGGTAAGTAGTTTTTATCACATTGTGTTTTTTAACTTGCATTTCTTTGATGAACAATGATGTTAAAACATTTTTAAAATTTTTTAGTCTACAGAATATCCTCTTTTGAGGAATACCTGTTCAGATCTTTTGACCATTTTAAAAATAATTTGTATCTAGATACAATACACACAACATAAAACTCACCGTTTAAAATGTACACTTGGCAGGTTTGAGTGTATGTATAAGGA